TTATCATCCTCCAATCTGCCCTCTTCTTCCTCGTCAAAAAAAAGGATATCTCGGAATTGATTTTAAAACAATGAAATATTTTTGATATTTGGGCCATGATAATTCTAATTCATCTAATATTGAATTTTGATTTTCAGAATCTGATGATGAAATATTTATATCCATGCAAATGCTAATCTATTAAATTAAAATATTCAAATTAATAAACTTTATTCTTATCTTCTCTAGCAGTAGCACGGTACGTTAATTGCAATATGAAAAAAGAAAAAGTAAAAACAGCTGATTAAAAAATATAAGACTTTTTTGTTAAAAAATTGGATTAAATATCAATTTTTCAAATAAATAAAAATTGCGGATTAATATTAATTTATAAATAAAAGGTGTTTTTAAAATTGAACGAACGTAAAATTGAACGCGTTCATCAAAGAAAAGGAACGCGTTCACGTTCAAAGTTCGTCAAAAAAAAGGAACGCCGTTCATCACCTTTTTTCAAAAAAACGAACTTTAAATATCAGTGATTATGGACAAGTAATTATTATTGATCATGCTTTTAATCTTAAATTTTATTTTATGGTATATTTTTTGAATCTACATGAGTTTTCCAGTTCACAACTTTTATATTTTGTTATCCATATGTAAATGTAACACCAACATTTATATCTTGGCCTAGCTTGTTGCATTTAAAGATTGAAGATCTTAACAAATAAAATATAACTGACTTTTCTGTAAAAAGTTTAAGCAAAATTTAGCATAAAGTCTCGCGATAAAAAACACCTAAACATAAAAAGAAAATAGGACTAACTAACAAAATGATACAGGATGTTGTTTATAAAATGCGGAAGATTTTTAGTTTTCATAAAATATTCTTTTTTAAAAAAGAACTAAATTAAATAAGAAAATATATAATATAATTAAAAAATTGCAAATATATAATTAAAAAAATTGCAAATTTATATTTATAAAAAAACAATTTTAAAAATTAAAATTTCCGTGATTCACGGGAAATTTATGTTCACGCCCGATCACGCCCGGGGAAAATTTTGGGAAGGCCTGTCACGCCTAGTCACGCTTTGGAATTTAAAATTTATTCAAACTCACGCCGTGACCCACCGTGACACGATGGGTCACGCGTAATTTCACGGCCCGCGCCCACCTCTACTTCAAGATATATTTTTACTTAAAATCTTGGGCGTGAAAATCACTAATAAATTGTAACAAAAATAATATACAATAGTAGCATATCATTTTTTATTAAAAACATCAAATATTAAATAATATGTTGTTTTATTTTAAATAAATGCATTCGCAATATATTTATTGTTTCGCGGTAATGCGCTCGCGATAATGACTTCGCGCAAACATATTCGCGATAAAGTGTTCGCGTAAAATGTTTCGCTAAAATGTAGTTCTAATAAATTCGCGGTTAAGGTTTCGTGGAAATAAATTCGCGACAATGGCTTCGCTACATTGTCTTCGCTATAAATGTTTCGCGGAGATAAATTCGCAAAATTGGTTTCGCGGTTTTACCTTCGCTATAAAAACTTTTCGGGATAAACGACATTCGCGATAAAAGTTTCGCAAAAAAGTGTTTCGCGATTAAAGTTTTGCTGAATTGACCTGATACGGATATATTCATATATATCAATTTAACGCCCTCTTATGGATATATATTTGCAAAATTTTAAAATTGAAAAATAAAATAATTGTAATAATAAGCCAGTAAATATATTTCTTTCCAATAATATTAAGTGTAGATATAAATTATTTAATATATAATCTCAATTTTTTATTTAATTAAAAATTGATTTATGCACATTCAAAAAAGGTTTCTGAAAATTATTTTAAAAAAAAGATTATATAATCAAATTTTGATTGATTATTTTTTACCAATGAGTATTTACGTCATACCCGATTTATAGTATTTTAAAAGTTTTTTATAAAAACAGAAAGGAACACACAAAATTTTATTTATTTTAAATCTTTTTAAATAATAACGTCAAATTTATTATTCATATTAAATAAAAGAATTTTTTTACATTATCGTATCTGAATTATAAAAATATTTAACAAAAGACAAAGATAATTTTGCAGCAGGGGGATATAGATAGTCCATATCGTAGAAGCTTATTGCCAGAAAATCTAGAGCCTCTCATATTTATTTTTAAAAATCTAATATATTTAGTTTTATATATCAAATATTACAATTTTATAATTCATACCAACATAAAATGGATATATTATTAAATATATATTTTTTAATTATAGTCTTAATTGTAGAAATAAAAAAATTAAATGCATAATTCGATTTTTCGAATAAAAAATACTGATTTCTTAATTACATTTGATTCAAAAGGGGTTTGTGAAAAATCAGTATAGGATCGGGTTTAAAGCAATATCGGATCAATGTGGATCGGCACAGCCTAAAAAAATTACTCTTCCCCTCTTTATTTTGTGCAAATTTAATCAATCAATTTTTCTTAAATTTAATTTTTAACGTTACCTTGTTTTCCCTTTTAGATGTTCTTATGAATTAAATAATAGTTTTATAAAACAATTATATAATTTTAAAACATATTTCTATTATTAATATATATATTTTGTCAATGATTCCAAATATTTTTTTTGTGATTTAATATCCAATCCAATTCTAATTTTCGATTACGATAAAATAGAATTGAAAATTTTTTAAAAAGGTGGCTAAAAAAATTATAAATATTGTAAAATTAGTGTGTTAAAAATTACTTTGAAAAGTAATAGGCTACTTAAGTTTCTTTATAAAGTATTTACATAATTTAATTTATACATTAAATTTAAAGGAGCGGTGGAGCGGCGCTCCTCCACTCCAGCCTTAAAAGGAGCTAGCTCCCACTCCCGCTACCCAATTTTAAAAAGGCGGGGCGCTCCATGTGTTTTTAAAAAATGTACCTTACTGCAGCGCCGCTCCTTAACAACTTTGAGACATACATTTAATAACTAATTTGAAATTTGGCAAATCATAAAGTAGCTTTAAAGGTAACTTGCAAATTTTTTCGTTAAATTCTAAAAAATGCATCTACAAAAAGTAACTAAGTTAAAGTAACTTTAAAGGTAACTGGCAAATTTTTTCGTTAAATTCTAAAAAATGCATCTACAAAAAGTAACTAAGTTAAAGTAACTTTAAAGGTAACTGGCAAAATTTTTTCTTTAAATTCTAAAAAATGCATCTACAAAAAGTAAATAAGTTATTATTTGCAGCAAACTAGTAAAAATGTATTAATTAAAAATATAAAATAATTGCTAAAAGAATTAATAAAAATAACGAACTAGAAAGGATAAATTAAATAAGGATATTAAAACGAATTGGATGGATGATCACCCAAGAAAGGAGTCGCTGAAGAAATTAGAAGAACAATTCTAAAAATGGAATTAAAATCATTCATTGTGATTTATTGTGTCCCTGGAATTTTGATTAAAAAGCCTCTTTGCCAAAGATTCCTTAAGTATTGATAGCAATGGAGACAAAAATTACATTGATATGGTGAATATTTTTTTAGGATTTAACATGCTAATGCCTGGTGAGAATTGTCGAACTTTGATGTAGGTGTAGCCCAGGTGGGAAGGACACTATTGGACCAGGGTTTTATCATCTAGTCTTTTGGAATTATCATTGAAAAATCCTATTAAATTCAGAATAAAAGGTATATTGGCCTTATTGAAGACCTTTAGAATAAAATGGTTATTTATTTTGTGTCTGAAAAAAAATTTAATTTTTAAAATTTCAAAAAAGTTTAAATGTATTTTTTTTGGTTTATTATCAATAAAATAAATCATAATATTTTTTAATAAAATTATTTTTTATGCCTAAAAAGCAGCATTTATATATTTTTAGTCAATCAAATTGTGTTGAATAATTTGTTGATTATATCTATATGTTCAAATATTGGTTATTTAAAATATAATTCCCTTTCAAAAATTAAAAATATAGATATCAATATATTGAGAACAATATAGTTGATTTTGATATTTATCAAAAGTTTGTTACTCAAAAAGTAAATAAGTTATTATTTGCAGCAAACTAGTAAAAATGTATTAATTAAAAATATAAAATAATTGCTAAAAGAATTAATAAAAATAATGAACTAGAAAGGATAAATTAAATAAGGGTATTAAAACGAATTGGATGGATGATCACCCAAGAAAGGAGTCGCTGAAGAAATTAGAAGAACAATTCTAAAAATGGAATTAAAATCATTCATTGTGATTTATTATGTCCCTGGAATTTTGATTAAAAAGCCTCTTTGCCAAAGATTCCTTAAGTATTGATAGCAATGGAGACAAAAATTACATTGATATGGTCTGAATATTTTTTTAGGATTTGGCATGCTAATGCTTGATGAGAATTGTCGAACTTTGATGTAGGTGTAGCCCAGGTGGGAAGGACACTATTGGACCAGGGTTTTATCATCTAGTCTTTTGGAATTATCATTGAAAAATCCTATTAAATCCAGAATAAAAGGTATATTGGCCTTATTGAAGACCTTTAGAATAAAATGGTTATTTATTTTGTGTCTGAAAAAAAATTTAATTTTTAAAATTTCAAAAAAGTTTAAATGTATTTTTTTTGGTTTATTATCAATAAAATAAATCATAATATTTTTTAATAAAATTATTTTTTATGCCTAAAAAAGCAGCATTTATATATTTTTAGTCAATCAAATTGTGTTGAATAATTTGTTGATTATATCTATATGTTCAAATATTATTTAAAATATAATTCCCTTTCAAAAATTAAAAATATAGATATCAATATATTGAGAACAATATAGTTGATTTTGATATTTATCAAAAGTTTGTTACTATAACAAGGTGCTAAACATGAAGAGGTGATCATTTTTGAGTTTTTATTGTTATTTAAAAGAGAGAAATTAAATTTATATCTACAAGTTGGTTTATTATCAATCATTATTAATATTAATTAATTATTTTCAAAATGTTAAGTATATATTTATAAAATAATTTACTGTAGTTAGTAGTATAAAATATGTGAGCATATATAGCATGATAGATTGTGCAAGACCAGCTTGACCCACTACAAATCCCAATCTTAAAAAGAGTAAAACACTAAACATTGATAAGGCTACAGGGCTAAAAACCCCGGATATTGTAGAAAGCAACTTTCTTTTATCACCTACATTATTTGAATTATCATTCTCTTTAAAATTATTATTATTATAAATATTATTTTGGGAAATATTAGGTATTGTTTGTATTGTATATGTAGAGGTTGGATATCTTTCTTCTGTCATATTTGCTACTAGTGGATTTTTGTCATCAGCATTGGAACTAAAACCAAGATTAAAATGATAATTTGAAAATGCAGGAAAAAGGGGGGAATCTTTAGTGGAACCAAAGGTTTTATTAGTCATCTTAAATGATATGGTCTCAGATGATTTTTCATCTAATAAATCAGTTGATGGGAAAGTTTGGTTTGATATATTATCATTTGAAGGATTTGCTATTATATCATTAATTGAGTATTCAATATTTGATGCTTTGGTTTCAATCATTTGTTTAAACAGTCTTTTTTGTCTGGTAATAAATAAAATATATATTGGTTCAATTCATTATTTATAAAATAAAAAAAATTATATATACAATAATAAAATAACCCAGAACAAGAAAGATATTGGATTGGCTTTTAAAAAAATATTAGCCCAATCCAATATATAATACAGCATCATAATCCTATTGAAAATTCTATTCTATGAAATTTGTATAATTTAATTTGCAATAGCCCTTCCTTTTGTATCTAAATAGTATATAAAAAGCAAAGCCCAGTCATAGTAACCCTGTTTAGAATTTGTGCAGTCCAGCCCATAATAAATTTTTTTTTTAATTTTCCCAGCCTTGCTGTTAAAATTTTATGAAAAGTCCTCATTAAAATTTTATGAAAAGTCAGTGTGTAATTTGTTTGTGCTAATTTTCAATCCTTCATTTCTAATGTTATATTTTCCTAATAAGAATTAAGGTCCTTTTATCTATTATTTGGCTATTTCTATCAAATTAAGATTTCCGGATTTAAACAGCTTAGATTTGTAATTTATTATTCTTTTTAAGCTGTCTTCTTTAAAATCATACCACCTTTTGCATTCACTGTAGGTTTCTGAAATATATGGTTAAATTTACCCTTGCCAAGGCAAAATAAAATTTTAAAATTAATTTAATTTTGAATTATAAGAAATTATTTATCAATTAACTTCAATAGGCTAAAAAAGTTAATTATTTTGTAGATAAATGAGTGTGAAATAAAGGAAAGAATTTTTGTAGATTAATTTAGTAGTGTTATGTCTAAATTATTAAATATATATTGAAATTTTGCCCCAAATATAATAATTTATGCCTCCAAATCCATAACACTTGTTTGTGAATGAATACCTTTTTACTATAAAAAAGATTATGCGACAAAATAACGGAAAACAGCTGTCTAAAATGATAAATACAATGACATATGTCATTGGATAAATATTATAAAAATATATACACATATGTTAACGGTTTTAACGAGAGCCAGGCGCGTACGCAGCGGGGGGGGGGACAAATCCCCCCCCCCCCCCAAAGCCAAAAAATGCAGATGCCGGATTATATTTTTCAAAAATATTATTGTTAATTTAATTTATATTTGTTAATATTTATTCTTATCTCATATATACATATATATAATATATATATATATATATTTAATTACATTTATTTATCACATTCATCTACTAAGTTATTTTATCAATCAATTTCGATTTCAAGTTTTCCTTGGCGTAATTTACCTATTATTTTCAAATTTTAGTGGCGTAATATTTATCTAAATTTCTAATAAAATAATAATTATCTCTGAAACTCCTTGTCCAACAGGGAGAAAAAAATTGCAAGCTTGTCCAACGAGATCGAGTCTCCGCCACAGTAACAGCTATTTTGGAGTTAGAAGAGCTGATTATTAATGCTATTACTGAAATATCAAAATGGCTTGAAAGAAATATTTCCTCAGAAGCAAGAAAATTATTGGATTCAATACTTATTCCAAATTTTTTTTCTCATTAGAATGTATTATTTAATTATACAACTATTTTATGTAATACTTTTCAAAAACATAACATTGACTTGATTAAGAAGATGAGAATAGCGGAGAGCATTTTATTAGAACTCAAGGAAATAGAGCTAGTGTTGTTGAAGAATTTCATATTTTATATGTTATTGTTGAGTCAAAAGCAGAGCTATACGTGTTAAATATTTGTCCCCCTCGACTTGCAGCAAGCAAGCTCATCATCAAAACATTAATATAGGATCAGTAGAAGAGTATTAAAACAAATGTCCCCTCTCCCAACCTTTTTCATATGGTGATAGAAAAAAAATATAAATATTTGTTATATTTTTATCATGAAGATGTTAAAATATCTTATGATGCCTTATTAGCTGAATAACTTTGATTAAAAGATTAACTATGGTTGATACAGTCCCAAAAAATGCTATGGATGCTTTTATTTCAAACACATTTTAGATTATACTCCCAATTATTAAAATGGTTATATATATATTAGCAGCTCTTTAGTAAACTAATGAGAGAACCTTCACTTTTTTAAGAAGAATAACAGAGCCTTGCAGAGGTACCATTTGCAGGACCAGGCCCAGATTTTTTTTAAAAATTTTTTCCGGCCCGGGTTTTTTTTAAAAAAATTTTCAGGCCCGGCCCGGCTGGCCCAGCCCGAATTTTTTAAAATAAATTATATATATTTTTGATATTTATAGCTAATAATGGCGATTTCAAATATTTGGTTTTAAAATATACAACTCAGCTCGGATATTTTTTCTTAAAAAATTTTCAGGCCCAGCCCGGGTGTTTTTAAAAAAAAAAATTACGAGCCCGGCCCGGGTATATTTAAAAAAATTAAAATACGGTCCGGCTCGGGGGCCGGGCCTGCAAGTCTGTGAAAAACATACCTAAGAAATACAACATCTGAAAGTAGATTGAATGATTTGGATCTTTTGAATATTCATAGACATTTAACGCCAAGCAAGGATTGATAATTGAAAAATTAGCTCAAAACATACAAAATACAATTATTCCTAAGAAACTTTTTGTGTATTAATTTATATTTACAACATTTAAATTTTTTATACTTTATATATTTTAAAAGCTCAAAAAATTCAAATTTCAATTTTGGGTCATTTAAGTGATTCATATCGTGGGTTATATTCACTTTATATTTTATGATTCACATTTAAATGCCGGTTTATATATATAATTTTTTTAATTCACATTAGTTTAAAATTGTGTATTAGAAAAGTTATTAATCCTAATAAATTTATGCTTAGTATTTTTAATTAAAAATATTATTTCTTAAAAAATTTATTATCCCCCCAGACCAAATTCCTGCGTACGCGCCTGACCAGAGCAATCACATAATGTTATTAAACGAAAGGCATTTAACTTTATGTGTATATGGAGGAATGGGGGATTGGAGCTGCCTTAAGATCATTCTTTCTATTTTTCCAGATTTTCAAACGGATATTGCAGATATTTGTTTTATTAAATATGGACAATAGCGTTGCTAGATGGGTGGGAGGCAAAGGGCTCAAGTAGTGGCGTTAAGCGGTTCGATTTAGATCATTTTTTAAAACGGCCTAATTATAATTTTAGCCAAATAATATGATGTAAGCCTCGAGATTTTACAAATAGACGTTCAAATATATTATTTAGGCTAAAATATTAATAGAGCCTGAGAGAATATTTTCTTTAAATTTTTTGGAATTTAATTTTTTGAAATTATTTTTTTATCAATCATAATTAAATAAATATATTATTTTAAATTAAACTTTTTATTTTATATTAGATAAAATTATAGTATATTAAAATAACTAAATTATTTTTAAAATACATATATAAAAACTATATTAAAATAAAATTGAAAAACCATAAAAAGAGAAATACAATGAAATAATAAAAATAAAATAAATAATTCTCTGAAAATTGCATAGAACCAGACGTGTATTCATGTGAAAGGGGCATAACACTCCTTTCCCCAAGCTACAAAATTTAGAAGCAGGTTAAACTATTTTTCAAAACAAAATGTATATTAATTAAGGTTTATAATATTATTACTACTTACTATCGCATATATATATATTCTAATTTACGTTTATTTATCACATTCACAGATAACAGAAATAAATTCAATACTAATTTATTTTATGAATTATTAATGATTTCTATTTTTTCTTTTGATTATATTTATAATTAAAAAATTACACAAAACAAAGGTATATAAAAATATAATACATCTCTACAATAAATTATTGTTAGCTGCCTAATTAAGTTAGAGATAAATGCTTCTGATGAAATAGTTATGCTTGATGTTGAAGTTAACAAAATTTCCTCACAAAAAAGAGTGATTATATGGGATCAATATCAAATCAATAAAGGCGGAAAGGCTGCTTGCAATCATTGCAAGAGCAATAAGATATAAAGGCAAAACAACATTCCCTCTTATTAATCATTATGATAAGTTTCATTCACACACAACTAGTAAAACTAAAAAGTGTAATAAAATTGAATTTTTTTAAAGCCTATATCACCAATTTAAAAAATTAATTTTAAAACTTTTTTAAAATTATTTATAAATTATAAAAACAATATACCTTCTAAACTGTTAATTCAAATAATTTTAATGATTTTATAAGTGATCTTGATTGTTCTGAAAAATCAAGCTCCAATACTCTTAAATTGCATATGTATAATACATTTGCTGAAAAAGAACAGTTGGTAAAGGAAATAATATCCAAAAATAAAAGTCAGATTAATTTTTCATCTGACATTCAAGCCCAACACAAATTCCTTTTTTAGGGCTAACCATTTTATTGATAAAATTTTAAAGTAACATTTTTTTTGGATGTCTCTCCAATAAAGAAGCACTGAAAATATATTTTAAACCTTTGTTAAAATAATTAAAATTTGGAGAATAAAAATTTTATTATAACTTTAGATAATGCAACTAATAATAAACATTTATTTATAGATTATCTTTAAAATATACATTAATAAAAATAGGTCACATCCGATGCTTTGCTAATGTAATTAATTTAATTTTCAAAGAAATTTTAAAAATTTAAGATCCTTATATTATAAAACTGATAAACATTATTAGAATGATTCGTAATTATCCCAAATAGTTAAATTTATTTTAAAAAATATATGTAGTTCACTACATACACACTCTCCTAAATTTTTAAAATTGGATTGTGAAATAAGGTGGAATAGCACCTACCAAATGATTGAAAGAGGCTTATTGTTAAAGTCTGATATAACAAAATTAATCAATGAAGTAATCACTAATATTAAAATTCTTCAATAAAAACAAATATCAGAGATAAACTAAAATTTATGATTAGGGAATAATATAATACTTTGTTAACATATAGGAGGAATGAGAGGATCTTATAAAAATTAAGGCTATCCTATTGCCTTCATATAAAACTACAAATATGGTATGTGGGGAGAATTATTCTACTTATAAATTGATTATATCTTATTATATTATAATTCTTAACCTAAAAAATGAAAAACCTGGTTTCCATATTTTCTTTAACAATGGTTTCAATATAGCATATGATAAATTGTTGGGCTATTATAATTTAACTGCCGATAATGCAATAATAACCACAATATTGGATCCCAGGTTTAAATATAATAGTTTAAATCAATATTTGTTGGTTTACAACTTGATTACATATTTTTTCTCATCAGATTATTGATTACATATTATCAGATTATTATAATAATTTTTTCAAAATCAAATTTACAATTAAAAAATTTGTCAATTTATTTGAGTATAATTTATTTTATTAAGAAAATTCATTCAATTATTCGATTCGAATTCGTTTTTTAATAGGTCTACTCAGAAGTATGTCAGAAAATCCACTGAATGGAGTTGCTTTATTTAATATACATCGCAAAAAGAAGTTTAAATTTTCATATATGAACTATATTTTGATTAACTTTTTAAATCGTCATTATTATGTTTAATTTTATATTTTATTATTATTACACACCGGTTTGTATAACTATAATATTTTTTAACAATTTTATGCTCTGTAATACTTTCTATTTTATTATATTTGTGTTCGAAATTATCATTTTTTAAAATAGGATTTGTTCTAATAAATTTTTAATGTTTCAAAATATTTCAATTATAAAAAAAATATATTACTTCCCCCCCCCTCCCCATCCCCGTAGAAAATTTCTCTACGCACCTGGTTTATTGAGCATTGAAAAATATTATAAATAAAATCTCTAATGATTTAATATTTGACGAATACGTGACAATGACTAATAGGCTAAAACTTCGTTGTGTCTGTCAAATAATTAAGTGTTTTATAATTTATATATTATATTATACAGTGGCGTATCCAGGATTTTCTTATAGGGGGGGAAATTATTATATTTCTATTTTTAACTATTATTTACTAATTCGTGCTTATGGATAGGATATTACAAGCCTCTTTTTTATTATTTCAAGTTAGGTATATTATATTTAATAAAGTTTTTTTAAATGTAAAGGTTTATTTATATGTAAAGTTGAAATAAAGTGTAATGTCATTTTTTTTATAAAATTTGCTTTAAAAACTAGCCTCAGCTTAAATTCTCATACAATATAAGTAGAATATAATTTTTTTTATTGAAAATACTAATAGTAGTTTAAAATATTGACTAGAAAATAATTAAATTAACAAGTTTTTTTTAACTTCTTATCAAATACAAGATTTTTAATTATTTAGTTTGTCTTTGGAACCAAATCTCTATGTATATTTAACAGAGCTAACCCATTTAGCCAAGATTCAGTACTTCGTAAATATGTTTTCAAACTTCTCAAGTTGGAAAAAGTTCTTTCATTCGTATATGTTGTAATAGGCAAACATGCAAGAATATAAAACAACTTCGAAATATTAGGAAATTGAGCCAAGGTTTCTTTACACCGATTGAGCGCATCAATAGCATGCTCAGGTAAAATAGCTAAACGTATAAATATTTATACCACAATTCGAATTCACTGATTAAATTTATTTCAGTATCAATCTCATAGGAATAAAATTTTTCTAAATATTTAATTTTACCAATAGTGGCATTAGAAAATGAAGAAGGATCTTTGGGTAATAAAACTTGAAGATTGCTAAAGACTTGTTTTTTATCTAAAACCCGTACTTTTATTTGCTATAAAAAAGTATCTAAGAATGGGATGAAAATGGATATTTTATAATATTCTTCAGTTGAGCCAATATTTATTTTCATCTCAATAATGGCCTAGGTGCTAGACGAGGTTTAATTAGTATTATATCATAAAATTTAGCCTTCGATTCAACGTCTAGATAAATATTATGAAAATATTTATCTACATTCATTCTTATTGTATCTACCTGTTCATGTATATTTTCCGCCAAATCAATAACTTGAACCAAATCTAAATTTGGTTTTTGTAAATTTCTACAAAGTAGTGAGCTAAAAATAATTTATTGATGCAACTAGCAGCAATGATAAACTCTGATTGATCAATTGAATTCAATAATGATATCGCTGCTAACGACACATTACTTTTTTCATGCTCAGCCTTATTTATAAATTATCGTTTGATTTCAATCTCTTTGACTAAATATTTTTACATAATATTTTTGAATAATATGTTGGAAAATTGATATTCAAATATTTGTAAAATTTTGATTGGTGGGGGGGGGGGTCTGGGGGGTGGGGGTAAAATTTTTATTAGCTTAAAATGATATTTATGAAAATAGTCAAATTTGCGATGGGGGGGGAATTTCCCCCTTTCCCCCCCATTGGTTACGCGCCTGATATTATATACCATCTCGATACATATTTATATTATAAAATCGACATTTTTTTATTACTTTTGTAATAGTTTATTCATTTTTTTTGATTTATATTATATTGCATAGAATAAAAACTGAATTAAAATACCAACATATTATATAGACTAGTACTATTTTAGTTATACCCGAAATCATCAATTGTTGGCAGGTGTATTCGCGCGAGTCTATGCTGTACTTATGTCTATAACTAAGAAATTTACGAGGGATAAATTAACAAGACTCTACATGCCATAGGCGCATAGCAGGAGCTTCAGGGAGGCCCAAGTTAATTTGGGGTAAATATATTTTGATTATTATAAGTCATTAGAAAAAAATGTGGATTCCAAGTTTGGGAACCAAAATATTTTTCTTGGGAGTGGGGGTTCTTCTCTGTGCCCCTTTTCATAACTTCGAGACTTCATGCCAGTACTAGCTATTAATTTACAATTTTTTTTATTGATTTGCTGATTGTTTAGGTATTTCATAGAAGAGCATTTTATTTAATTAAAAGGAATTTTACAGTTGTACCTTCTTGGTAATATAAGTAAAAGACTATTAGAGATTCATGATAGTGTTTATTTAAAAACTCAAACTTATAAGACCCAATTATTTTCTCATTATAAAATATGAAAATATGGTCTATAATATATAATGTAAAATATATTATATACATCGAATGAAACTTTTCTATAATGATTAGCATTATTCTGATAATTTTCAAAATGTTAGAAAAGTTATGCTTAAATTTCTCTTAAATATTTAGAGTATTTAAAATTAAACCACTTTTATATAATATCTTTAATATTTTTAAAAGCTGCATTTTACGTTATGCCCTCGAGAATACTACACAATTTCAGAATATTTCCAGAATATATTTTTTTATTCAAATGCCAAATTATTACAATCGAAAAACAAAACGAATCAAATTTTATAATCTATAATCACAAAAAAAAATAAAATTTAAAAAAATAAAAAGAAAATTATGAATTCAAAAAAAATGAATTGAAATATAAAATTTTGTATCCTTTTTATAGGGATGCGAATAATAACTTAAAAAAATAATTAAAAATTAACAAGTTAAAAATACATTTTTTAAAAATTACAAACCACCTATCATGCCAAAAATTCAAATTATAAACTAAAAATACATTTATTAAAAATTATAATAATCATAATTATAAGGACTTTACAATAATCAACTTTTATAAATCTAAAAATAAAAGGTTAATGCGATTAAACTAAAACATAAATTATAAAAATATAAATGACTGTCCAAACGCAATACATAATTTACCAAAAATCAAATTTTACAAAACAAAATCCCAATTTATGACACTGCATATTATGTCAAGTTATATTAGGATGTTAATTTTTTCCTGTTTTAAAAAAAATTCTATTGACTTAGTTTTGAACCAACGTTCCATGAAATGTTCATAATGATAGCTTTTTTTAAATATAGTCTCCCATTGCACATTCTTACCTAATTCTATAAAATCTTTTAAATGGATTATATTATTTAAAAATATCATATATATCATAACCCCGTTTTTTATCGCCATCGGAACAAACTAATATTGCGGAAATGGAAAATTCGTTATAAAATTTTAATTAATAACCAGAAAGGAACTAAGCTAATATACTAATGTTTTTAAATAATAGTTCGAGATGGGTGTTTTTAGTGCAGCTAATTTTGGCTTTGAAATGACTAGACTAGAACTATAAAATATGTCTGAAAAATTAGGAATTTTTAGGAGAATAATTCTATATTACCTTGATTACTATAAATAATTTAAATATTAACTGAATAAATTAAAATTATTTAAAAACAATAATAAAAACTTTAATAGATTATTGATATATTATTTTGATATTTTCAAACACTGGCTAAAAATATTATATTGGCGATTACATAAGATTAAAACATTTAATAATTCATTAAATAAAGGTCAAATTATTGTATAACATTAAAAATAGAAGTGATAAATATAATCATTAATAAAAACTCTCGCTAGTCGTAGATTTTTTTATGTACTTTCTTCGTGATGTTATCGTTTTAGTTATAAAATCCCATTCATCTTTTTCCCCATTTTTATAAGATTCATTTGTACTTATAGTATTTGATGTAATATTTGCTTTTCTTGATATTCCTTTACTAGCAGATAAATTTTGTGAGTCATCTGATGTTATATAATCCTTTTGAGTGAAATCATTATATTTTTGATAACTGCAATCTTTGAAATTCTGTTTATTAACATTTTCAAAATTTGAACTACATCTTGTATAATTTTTATTAATGTTTAAATCTTGAAAAGAAACTTGATCCTTAAAATCAAAAGAATTTTGAGAAATTTGAGTATTATTCGAAATTCGAGAAGAACTTGTATCTGTCATACTCATATAGGAAGATAAATCTGAGTTCTGTTTTGGGGGCCAAATGGCTGTAATTTGGGAAAAATATATAATTAATTACTAATAAAAGTATATATCACTTTCATGTTCATGAGAACTATTAATGGTTGAAATTTCATTCAAATTACAGGCAAAAGATTTTGATCTTGAAATACCTTAAAAAATAAAATTTAATTATATTTCTTAGTTTTTTATCGATAAATATATGAAAATCTACGAATTTTATATAATAAATTATTTTAATAAATTTCAATTTTTTAATTAATTAAATTATAAAAATTTAACATATTTAATTTGTGTTGCACTTAATTTTTGCCCCGTTTATAGTAAAATGTTAATTGTTATAATAGATTAAAGATTTATATGAAGTAAGAAAAATAACTTTTTCTCAGTATATTTTCCCTAGATTTTGAATCCGTATCAAGAGCCAATAAGTAACCATTGAAAGATTCTTTAAAATATTTTAGAGGGATTAAAGATTCATTATCTCCAAAATTTAAATATAGTCTTTCATTGGAATGTATATTTTCCTGTGATACTATGCTCATACTTTTAGTTAAAGATAAAGCAATAGTTTCCTTTTTAAATTAATAATAGTTTATAACCAATGAAAATTTATTAACTTCTGATGAATATCCTTCGCAATATCTACCAACGTTCGTGGAATTGCTTTCTTTGAGACCAACAATAGTAAAAGGGGATTTTTGAGATTGGGGTTTATGGAGTATACTATCATTCGAGTTTTCATCTATTTCGTCATATTCATTTTTCTTTTTTTCCAAAAAATATAATGAACCCAATTTTGATTCTTCATTGAATTTATTATGATGTGAATTTTCAGTGTTATGCTTATCCAATTGATGATATTCAAGTTCATTTCGCCATTTTATATATCTTCTATTAGCATAAGGATATTGAGTTAATAATAAAATTAAACTGCGACTTATTAAATCTAATTCCAATCCTTTATACATTTTTTGTTTTGTTAAAAGATTATAATGATAATTATTCATAACATCTATGTAAACTATTTCCTTATTAGGTTTAAAATGGAATTCACTAAGTAATATAGGATATGCTTGAATATTAATTGATGGGTTATTTATTATGCCTGTTCTTGGGTCATGATCTTTGTTTATTCGAACTGAATATTCAGAAATGCGCCTATTATAATTAATATTATCTTTCAATTCATGATATTGATTTGGATCATCATATTTATCCTTAAATTAAATCAATGCAAGGGTTTTAAGTAAACTATATAATTTTACTGTATTATCGGAGAGTGCCTTTTGCTAATTAATTATTATAAATATATGTAATTTTGATAGTAATTATACCTTAAATTCCATTGTAAATATGTGTTGAAAAGTTTGTATTGTAATAGGAGGGTTACGTTCTTCTTCCGATAACATTGCAATATCCAGAAGATCTTTTATCTTATTTATATATTTATTTCCCTTCGCTTTGATTTCTCTGCATCTTTTTTGAACCCATTGTTTTAACTCTTCATCTTCAATCATAAGTTTATCTTCATCAAACTCAATTCCCTTAATTTATATGATAGGCCCATATTTTTAAATATAAATGTCATCTTTATTTATTTGTAGAGCACCAGCACTTCATAAATGAGATCAAATATTTATTAATATTAATATAATTGTAGGTATAAAATTTAAGTAAAAGTAGACCTCATATGTTGAAATCATAGCTTGCAAAACGTATTGCCAAGCCAACTTTCCTGGTATATTTGTACCCCCTTTTATCTTCTTTCTTCTTTTTTTCTTAGTCACATTAGGAATTGTGAGACCTAATATAGTTAAAATTTTATATAGATTGATATAGATCTATTATTTATAATATTGATGGTTTACTACATTAAAGAAAGGAAAACAATTCTTTTTAAATTTAAAGAGTATATAAATCGACTATCTAAAAAAAGAGGAGAGGTTTCCTTAACTTAATAATATTATAAAGTTTTACAAAAATTAAGCATACTTTATATATTTAGAATAAGCTTTAAATTTTCAGTTTAACAATGTGGATATTGATATTTTATTTATTTTTTTGTTATTTGAACAATCTCAAAATAGGAATAATATGACCTAAGTTTAATATTTTTTATGTAATTAGGATACTTAATATTTTAGCGATAATGTTTATTATGGGTCTAATGAATAATATTTCCTACATATAAATATCATTTATTTTTTTGACTGTTCCCTAATTAATAAAATCGTTATTTTGTGTAATTTTTAATTACATTTATTTTATACAGCCAAAAGATTATAATTTAAAAATATATAGTGTAGTATTGGCATACGGAATCATTTGGGATTCGGAATCCGTTTTATTCGGAATTTGTTTTTTAAATATTTTTAAAAAAAATATTCCGAATTCCCATGCTAAATTATATTTTTTTCTCCCTTTGGTGCTGGCACCAGAAAATTTTATTTAGAGATATTTTAATTGTTATAATAAAATAAATGTAAATTATAAAAAAGGATTTAATTAAAATGCCAAAATAAGGGTTTTAAAAAGAGAATGTTTAAAAAAGTAAATAGTATAAAATTAAAGTATACAATGAATGAAAAGGGATAAGGTTAAGAAGACATTTTTGTTTTTGTAAATTTATATAAAATCATAAATATTTTCACATGAATAGAAATTTTTAAAAAATCCGAATTAATATAAAATATTTATTGCAACTTGTGTTTCCACTAATTATTTATCTAAATTTTTGATTCTATAAAAGAGAAATATGCCCATACGTTTGATGTGAAGGACTCGATCGATAGCAATGGTAAAAATTACTCAAATATTTGTTCATGAATAAAATAAATTAGACTTAACCAATATTGATCATATTCCTGGCAATTCTCTGCTCCTTACCGACAAGGATTTATACTACATGAAATGTTAAAGAGTCAGATTGCAACGGAAAAAATTATTCACTATATTTTATTTAAAAAAAAGTGACATTAGATTTAACAACTATTGAGCTTTTCTTGCTCTTTTGTCTCAAGTTGAAGAACATAAGGAAAGAGGTAATAAATGTTATTTATCATATAGTTATAGTTATTAAAATATTGTATTCTAATAAATTATAATAGTCCTGTATAGGGCTTTAAAGTGATAAAATTTAAAATATTAATACTTTTTATTTAAGAATAAATTCCTTTTAAACTATTCACAAAAATCCAAAGTATGCCATAAAATAATAAAAATTAATAAATTTATACTGGGTCAGGCTGGAAAAATATTAACTTCCTGTATAGGGCTGTGAAATGATAATTTAAAATATTAATACTTTTTATTTACTAATAAATTCCTTTTAAACTATTCGCAAAAATCTAAAGTATGCCATAGAATAATAAAAACTAACAAATTTATACTGGGTCAGGCTGGAAAAATATTAACTCCATTTTAAATGTAAGGTTTTCTAAAAATTAGGCTGAGCGAGGGCTATCTTTTTTTATATTTAACGATTAGGGAAAGAAGGGATATTAAATAAAATATTTATTTATATGTTCACAGATAAGTCAATTGTTTACCAATGAGGAAAATTATGTGAACGTTATATAAATTGCTACCAAAATCGCAAAGGTTTCAAACAAAGATTCGCGCTTTCAAATTATCCATAATATTACTAATAGTCCTTGTTCAAAAAATGTTGACCATAAAATTACATGGAAAAATAGGTGCTACCAATAATATTTTAAAAAGGACCTCTTCCTTTATTTCATATTTAAATGATCGTGGGCGTCGAATCATAATTTATTCTCAAATAATTAGACAAAATAACTATCTTAGGTCATAACGTGTTTTTACCTAGCCATAGGACATATAGAACTAATATCTGTCCTAAATATTTAGAAGGGGAAAGTATTAAAAATTGAACAAAATAAAATATGGGTAGGATCTGTCGAATATGTGTATTGAATTAATTATAAATTTAAAGAAATTTTAATATAAATTGTGAAGATATAATGTTTAAATTGTAAAGTTAATCGAATGGTTAAATTTAAGAAAATTAAAGGAAAATTATATAAAATAATATCGATGGTAAGTAATATAAATATAGAGATAAAAAATGTAATATTAAGAAGAAAAAGAAAGGGAAACCTTTTTTATTTTGACTTTGATTTTATATTTTTACATTTTATGTTTTGATTTTAATTATATTTAATAAATTGGCATCTTCAATTCATGTTCAAATATTAAATTTTCAACTTCTAACAGGAACGTGTGCTGGAAGAATTTTAACACCATTTATTGTGTCTAGTCTGTAAAAAACTATGAAATTAAATGATTTTGAAGCTCCCAACAAAGATATATCAATCATAGGCAAATTAAGCTATTTTTATAGTGACCACATATACGCCCCAAATTAATTCATGTACATAAAATATATTTATTTTTTATTTCAACTGTTAAAAATATTTAGGAGCTTCACGGTAGAATATAAGGTGCGAGTGTTTCAAGAACAGCCTTAAATGTTCAACGAAATGTCATATTGCATTGAATAATTGTTACAATAAATAATTTTTTTTTTAATTCGGATTTTTAAAAATATAATTCATGTGAAAATATTTATGATTTTATAAAAAAATTTAAAAAAATGTTTTCTTAACTTTATCCCTTTTCATTCATTATTTTATACTATTTATTTTTTAAACATTCTTTTTAAATCCCTTATTTTGGCATTTTATATTTCCTTTTTATAATTTATATCATTTATTTTATTATAACAAATAAAATATCTCTAAATGAAATTTTATGGTGCTAGCCCGACGGCAAAAAAAGGAAAAAAAAAATATAATGATTCAGAATATTTTTAAAAAAATATTTAAAAAAAAGATTCCGAATAAAACGTGGGGATTCAAAATCCCACTTCCGTATTTCAATACGACAGTTATATCTAAAAACCATTTATTTTTATAAATAAAATCGAAACCCATTTTTATGTTTTATTTTTTTAATAGTAATAATTATTTAATAAACATTCTGCCAATAGTTATTTTTTTACTCATTGTTTAAAAAAGTGTGCAATAATCTCTTCAGAATCTGTTTTTAGTGATGCTAGTGATATTGACAGTCCCCATCACTGCAGACTGATCTCTGATAAATGAAATTTTGGTATTTCTAAAAAGAAATCTTAGATATATTAATTTCAAATTTCATAATATATTTGTTTATGACTAATTATGTAAATAGATTAATGTTATTACTTATTATATAAATAAGTAATTTATCAATAAAAATATTTTATATACTTTTAGAATTGCAATTGAATTGAATATAAACTATAACTGATCATTATAATATATTTAAATGACATATGTTATGGTATAGTAAAATTATAGATGTTATACTAATAAAAAGTAAAATTAAAACCATTGGTATCTTTACAAAATACAAAATTAGATATGATAGATCGGTAATCAGCCGATATCAATTTAATATCTGGAATATCGGATCGGATCGGCCTCCAAAAAGTGGTATCGGTTAGTGTTGTTAAATTACCTAACTTTGACCATTTCTATTGTGGTTTAGTCAAGCTTTTAGCCTAAAATATTGAAATAAATCTCTAAGTTGAGTCTCAACCTCAAGATCGATTCGAATATTTTTGGATAAAAACATGGCTAGGCTGTTTTCTAGTTGACTAAAGTTAGGTGGTTTAACAACACTAGTATCGGTACACCCCTATAAATAAGATATTCCTTTATTCCATTTTTCTATTAAAAAAAGATGAACTTAATTTTTTATTAACGAATAAAAAATTTTCCTCTTCTGATAATTTACATCTGAAATCTTTTTAGGGCATTGACAAGGCAATTCCGGCTGGCTATTTAATTATTTCAAACAATTATTTTTTTTAAGGAGAAATAAAATAAGGGGAAAAAAATTTCCACATCTCTCCAAATTCTATGTTTTAAAGAAAAGTTTATTTAGCTGTGCCACATAAAATCTCTAAAGAAAAAATCTTGTCAATCAGTGAGAATTTGCTCAAATACCTTTACATTTTAAGCAATATATTTAGCCTCAAAAATGGGGCTTCAAATATTTCAAGGTTTTCACATTGCTTATGATTTTAAAATATTTCTGAGGGAATGAATATAAAGACAGATTAACACCAGAGCCCGATTTATTGGCCACGCTAATAGAGCTTGCTTTATTTTATTAAATACCAGTGTATAATGTATAGTAAATTATATTAATGAGTCCCAATAAATTTTTTCAGAAAAATACCAACATTTTCTGATAAAGACTTCTTTCTTTTTAAATTTGGGGGATTATCGTAGGGATTCGAACCGAACCCGAACCCGGAGTAGAAAATTTTTTAAAAAATATTTCTGAACTCAAACAGAACCTGAACCCCATTTATAAAATTTCCAAAACCCCGAACCGAACCCAGGAATTTATTTGAACCCGGGTTCAGTGAATATTGTTTAAAATCATATGTATATCTTCTTTTCCAAAAAATTTAAATTTTAATCCGGTTGATATAGCAGAGAAAAAAAAACAAGTAAATATTCAAAATTAACAAATTATATTTTTATACCAATCAATATCTCTTCCCTAGGACATATGTAAAGCAGAACTTTAAAATCTTTAAAAAATATAAGCGACAAGATAAGAGCCCTTACATCAGAATCTAAAGAATATTATTTTTTAAAACAAAATCTACAAATTTTTTAATTTAAAATATAATTATTCTTGTTTTTTGGGAACTTGTAGTCCCACCTCCGTTTTTATAGAATAAGGTTTTATTTTATTTTATATTTGATATGTTAATTTTCATATAATTTTATTTGATAGATTATTATAGTATTATTAAAAAAATATATTTAAAAAAAATTTAAGATATTCGTAAAATTGCAAATAAAATATTAATAATTTAATGAGATTTTTTAATATTTCAATTTATATAAATATAAAATGTATAAATCCTTAAATATTACAGATATTACTTAATAAAGATGAATAGATTTGTGCGTAAAGACATCTTGTTAATTTATAGAGTAGGATTAAATCCATATCCACGCCCATGATGATAATAGTTCGGATGAAGTTATTGAACAAGATGATTTAGAGAAATTGATACAACTTAAAGAAATGCAGGAGAAAATACTAAAATGAGGACCAAAGATTACTGAGAAAAGTATGATAATTATTGAATTTAGCGATTTTAAAAGATTGGATAAGATGGAAAATATTTTGCATTTTTGGGTGCCTGTTAAGCTTCAGTACCCTAATTGAATATTTTATCCTAAATTTTATTTGTTATTCTTGAAATCCAAATTAATTTATTATATTTTCATGTAAATATGTTTAATAGAGGTGAGCGTTGAAAGATCTTTTTCACATTTAAATTTCATTGTTTCAATGCATAAATAAAGGATGATCAAACAACTCTTGGAAAATATTATGCTAATACATCTAAATAAAATTTTAAAATTGATGCGTGACTATGCTTTGTATTTTTAAATATATTTTGCTTATGAATAAAAATTTTATTTTTTATTCTAAATTTATGTCTGGATTAATAATTATGATTTAAACATAATTTTTTTTTATCAATTCAAAAATTCTAAACTCAAGCTGAACCCGAAATCAAGACCGGTTCTAAAATATTCTCTTGAACTGAACCCGAATCCAACCCTCTTAATTTTTTTAGATTGAACCTAACCCGAACAGAACCCACTTCAATTTATTTTACCTTGAACCGAACCGAATCCGACAGAAATTTTTGCCGGATTCGCATCCCTGCATAAACGTAGTCAAGTGGAAAGAAAAAGTGGCCTTCCACTCCCCTCGACAAATTTACAAGTTTTTAAATATTAATTGCCTTCCTCCTTAAAAATAAATAACATAATTCTAAATTCAAACTCCGGCTATGAATGGTTAGAAGACATCCCCTGTTCAAATATTGGCTTCCTAATGACTGGCGAACAACTACACATATCCATAGAGTCTAGGTTTAATGCCGTTGTTATACCTTCTATTTGCGTTGTTGCTGCCTATATTTTCTAAAAAAACTTAAAGTTCATTATGACATATGACCAGGGGAGGGGACAATGATTGGTATAAACAAATTAGTTTATTGTTTATTTTTGTCTCGGCAATATCACCGGATTTGAATTAATATTTTTTGGATAGAAAGAGAGAAAGTAAAGACCATGGCTTCATCATAAGCTGATCATAAATTAGAAGAATCCATGATGTTTTGTATATGAGCCCTCTTAAGACTACGTCTAATTATTTAATTAATCGCTACATGCCTTCAATATGCCTTTGACTATATCATAATTAAGACATGCCATTCTTAGGAATCAACCGATTTTTTACATTTTATAAACGCATATGGTTGAACGATGCCACGTCTCTATGGTTTATGACAAATCTCAATTGTTTATCTGATAAGAGTTTACGTAAGTTATGACTTGGCAATGCTTCCAATCATTCATGACTACTGGTACAATCAGTATTTTGTAATGGCTGAATATATTCCAAAGGGAGATATATAGCGAGTATTTTAAGAAATTTGTAAAACAGCTTCGGAAAAGGCCAAAGATTTTTAGGTAGTGTCAAGGCAATTTAAATGGTTATCTTTGGGGGTGATAAAAGAAGATATCCTTAGCCTTATCTTGTTTATCAAACTTTCCAAAGATGGAATATAAATATAAACCATTTTCAAATGTAATTTTGAGAAATCTCATTTAAAATCTCCAAATTTAATTATAAGAAATTTTTTAACATATTTCCAAACACTTCATAAAAACAATTATTAATTTCAAATTTAAAAAAAAGATGATCCAAAAATTTGTAAAATATTCGGTAAAAATAATTTTAAAAAAAAGAAAAAAAGCTTTGGCATAAGATATTTCTTAAAATATTAATCTTGATTAATAATATTTTCATAATACCAGTTGGGGAAACTGCTTAGGATGTACCAAGAAGATTATTTAGAGGAAATTTAAAAAAGATGGTAAACCTAAATTATTTTAATTTTTTTAACCCAGCACCAAAGATCTAAATGCCCTACATACAATTATATTTATAGGGGGATATCCAAAAATTTTAATCTCCTTTGAATAATATTGTCTATAATTATGTTTCAATTAAATTTAAAAATATTCATATTTAAATAAAACTTTGAGATTCTATTTCAGGCGGTATATGTATTTCATTTCCATATTGATCCACAAAATATTCTTCTCCTTCCTCCCACACTTCACATTCCTCAAATTCATCTTCATCTACGGGCATCACAATATCTTCTCCGAAGAGGCTTTTTCTACTTTTTCTACTTTTTCTTTCGGGGGGTAGACCTAATTTCTCTCTCCTGATTCTTTCAGCCTCTTCTTTTTCTTGAATTTCCTTTTCTCTGGCCAATTTTTCCATTGTTAATTTTTGGAGATACTTAATTAAAGAAATTAATTTTTAAATTCACTGTAATTTGCATTACCAAGTCTTTAGGGTCTCCAGGTTTTATACTATTCATATATTTTTTGACCAAATTTCGATAACAAGCGTTTTTTAATATTGCTAACGACTATTTTATTATAAAACGTCTGTATTTATGTATAATTCTAATAACCTTGTTAAAAATTGCAGGGATTGTGGGCCATTTTTTGTGCAATACATTTATAGGGCAGCTTTTGGCTATTCTGGATAAAAATGCATATCTTTGAAACTTAAAAAACTTGGAACAAAAAATATTCATTCATTTTTGCTTTATATAAAAATTTATAATACTTTTGCAGATTCAGGTGAAGTTATAGCTTTTTTATAATGACGATACCCTATCACAAATCTAAAAATACATATATAATTTAGTTAAATTTGAAACCCCTTTATAACAAGGTTTGCCCATTTCAATCTTCTTCGCTTCTTTTTAGCCAAATATCTTCTTATATGCTTTTGCACAACAATAACTAAAAAAAATAATGTTTTTATTAAACTGATAATACTTGCTCCCCTAATTTTATGATAAATTTTTTTTTGTCGGTGAGCTTTAAAAACAGCTTGGATGTCAGCCACCAGCAAACTTCTCCTTTTTTGATAGCATTGCTCAATTAGCATTACATCTTTGGCATTTCTTATAAATATCTTTCAATCCATTTTTAATGAATTATTTATTGATATGGAATACCTTTGTTTTACCAACTCCATAATGTTTTGTTTCTTCAAAATTTGAAACAGATTTTAGAATATTCAAAACATTTTCTTTAACGTCTCCACTATATGTCGGCCAAGATGTTTTCGATAATGGATAGTATCTAAATTGTATTATCAAATATCGCAAATTATATTCATTAAAAAGTATATATTATACAGAAAAATGTTTTTTGACCGATTTTGAAAGTTTGAAGATATAGTAGGGGGTAAAAGATAAAACGAATTTATTTTTAAATTACCTTTTTAAAAATAGCTCATATTGCTTTCGATAAGCATATCCAGAGCGACATACTCTAATATTTTCCATTAACCCTAAATACATAACTTGATGCTCTACATTTATCTCATTGAAATAACCTAATTATATGAAAGTTATTAAATTTTTATTAGATTAATGCAATTAACCAGCTTTCTTATCTTCATTCGGTTTCAAGCATCTTATATAGTATAACTCCTCTTGCATCAAAACAGCTACCAATCTCGATAAACTAGATTTGAATTGCATTCCTGCCTAAATAATATCTTTTAAAAGAATATATATTTAACAATACAGATGGAGGTCTCTTTGCTTCGTCAATTTCTTCTTGAGTATAAAAATTTTTAAGTATAATATTCTCATTAGAATTCATAAAAATTTTAAGATCTTTGACAATGGAATCTTTATTTTTTTCTAGAAAATCTATTTTATATGATATATAATTTGTAAAGAAGAGGTTATAGTAATATTTTTTTAAAATACGTAATCACAATTTCTTTATCTTTTTGGCTGTGTTTATTAATTTGTTTAAAAAAGAAAGGGAAATTTGAGCAGTATCTGAAAATTCAAACGATCCATTAATGTATTTTTATTACCATTTATAAAAAAAAATTTATTCTGCATGGTTCGGGTTTTTATTTATTTTTAGTCTTGCCTGGCATGAATTTTTAAAATTATAGCATTTCGTGACCACTTCATGGCTTGCAGGTCTCATTTATACTATATGTACTTTTATAAATTAAGGATGTCCCATGGGTTATAAAAAAGAATGGATTTTTTGATAATTTCTACTATTTTGTTTTATTTTATTTTTATATTTCTTTACCGCTGGAATTTAAAAATAAATAAAAACTTCATTTGCTTAGCTAAAAAGATACTATATGCATTCAAGATACAAACTAGAAATATATAAAACTAAAAATAAAATAAAAATCAGTTTCTAGTTCCATCAAGAGTATAAAGTTAAAAATATATCAAGGAAAGGCATAAAAAAATTATAATTATTTTATTGAAAAAAAATTATTTGTAATAATTACAGATTACTTTTTAACCACAAAGAGTGTTTTTTTATTCACTATTAAAACGTTTTTACATTATTATGCAATTCAATTCCATATAATAAATTAAAAAAGGGAAAGTGATAAAAATTTGGATAGAAATGAATTAACCTTTTAATATTATACTATTTTTGCATAATTTTAAGTCAAACCTACATTATTTTTAATCTAATGTAATATACACTAATACGACAAAATTCGATTACTAATTTTGCATAAAATTTATTATTACTGTCAACGCTATATTTCACATGTCCAGCATAATGCTTGATTAGGAATGTCTAGATAACATTTTATTATATTTAAAATTAATAAGAATTCAAAATCAATTTGTAATATTTTTATGATAGGATAAAATATAATTTACATCTTTATTTAATGTCTTTTTTAGCGCCGCATCTGTACAGGAGGTATAAGTTGCAAAAAATTGGTTCGCACCTTGTCTACTCTCAAGGCTATGTAAAAATGTCATATCGGTTCTTTCTCCAGGCATTACACACTCTTCGTCCTTATTGATTAAAATAAATTATTATACTTAAAAGAAGCAATTTAAAAACAAAAACTTACTAAAACGTATATGATGCCTTTTTTATTTTCTTCGATTAAATCCAATATAGGCCTATTGTCAAAAAAGTCCACTTTTTCCCACTTATAAAAAAGAATTAAAATTATACAATATAAACAAAATAAAGTGAAACATCTGAATGTGTCCATGTCTAGTTTCCCTATCCAAAGAATAATAATTTCAATCGAATAGTAACAAATATAATAAATTAAATTTTTGTTTTTATTGCATGCATATTTGATATTATGATGATTTATGATTCGTGGATTATTAACTTATCTTAAAAAACTTTTAACCATAAATATGGTACCTAATATATTTTATTGAAGACATTGAGATAGATGAATATTATATAAAAATATAAGTTTTTAATTATTTTATAACTTCATCGTTGTTTACAATTAATGTTTTTTTTAAATATTCTCCTAAATTTTTATCCCAAATTTATGCATATTTTATTTTTGTGAAATTTGTCATTTAAAAAAGCTCTAAATTCTAAATCAATATTCCCTACAAGTATGATCAAGGTTAGCATATAAACATTCTTCAAAGCAATTATTATGCCACTAAGTGACTTAGAACAAGAATGCCGCATTATTCCAGGTACACCTATGAGTCAAAAGATAAAAATATCATAATTCAAATTTATTTCAATTTGTTTTGTGATAAATTATTAGTTAGAATTAGAATTTCATAAAGAGATTTATATTTTAAGTTATCATCCACAAATCGAGAATTCACAAATTTAATACTTGTTCTACAAATATTTTTTATTTATTTGTGAACCAACTCATTTGTTTTATAAAAAAAAAATTAAATTAATTAAATAATATATTTAAAATTATTCCAATAATTCGATTACGAATAATAGATGATATAATTTGACAAATATATACTCATTTTTTCTTTGAGTAGGCTTACTCTAAAGACCTCTTTTAAAAACGAATAGCTTTTCTATGAGCGTTTTATGGTTTTTTATTCTTAGCTTGTTTTAATTTTGAGCGTTTAAACAGGAGTCAATTTATATTTTTACAATCTTAAAATTTCTTTCAGGATTAATTGAATTATTAAATTCAAGAATATAAAAGAAGGGGAGTGATTATAATTTTACCATTTACATTTAACTTTTGGCAAATAAATTTATACATTGAAACTATATTATTTATCAAATTTATGGCTCACCGCTATACCTTCTTTCAAATACTCTTCTTGTTCCATTTTTAATGTTCTTTGTATAAATAATTGATGTAGATGCTCATTGCAAAAATTTATACAGAATTGTTCGAATCTAAAAAGATAAATTCATGTAAAAATAACATTTTTTCTAAAAAATTTAAAGCGTCATACTTAATAGTAATTTTAACTTTTAAAATTTGTGTCAAATCGTGCTTGTTAAAGCGTGGCATATATATAAAGCTTTCTTATTATTTTGGTTGAGAAGATCAACATACTCGGCCATTGATAGTGCAACGCCAAGCTTACACGGTTTTGTCATGATTTTCATAAATTAACAAGCACGTCAGAAACGTCATATGTTTATTTTTATATAAATAATGAAAAAATTGATATTAAAATATATCGTCTGTGGACTAGTCGATAAGTGCATTTCACAAATCCGAGAGACCTGTGTTTGAATCCATTAAAAGTCATGTTTTTTTCTGAAGCCAACTTGATGGTTCTATACTTGGGGGTGATATATAGTAGATTGGACTCGACCATGTGATTCCGATTAGAAAATAAATGAGTCTTACGTTTTGACAACATTTGGTGGTTGTTTAACAAATGGTTTAGCGTGCATTATCAATAGCCAACAAACTCATATTTATTGATCATTCATTTATTATACTTTCGTTAAATTTTTTTTTTTATTTATTTTACTTTCTTAAACTTGATCATTTAACTAATATATTTTACTTTCGCCAAATTCTGTTATTTTATTTTTAACTCGTAAAGCGTAAATCGTTTAATTTTTATTATTAATTCTTTTATTTGGCATAACGCATAACCTAAAATTAACTTATGCCTTTATTATTTCTTTTATTCGGCGTTACCATTTAACCCGTTTTTATTTATTTTCATTTTTTACAAACCAGCTCAGCGTCTACATGCGGGATATTCACTAGAAACAAACCCCCTTCAAAAACCTATGCCCACTCCTTGAATAATTTTCTCTTCGACGATGATATTATCACATTATTAATTACCGTTTTAAATTGTTATGGTACTCATTTCATATATTTTGAAAAAATTAACTTAAATTATCAATACTCTACTACCAACTCTCAAAAAGGTGAATGATATTTAGAAAATGAATAATTAAAAACCCCCTCATTTGCTATGAATTTATTATTATGGTATATTGTTTGGCAGGAATATGAGTTTGCTGATAGAATGTCTAACCCTTTTAAATTACAATTGGCTGAAAATTATCCAGAAGTAAATTTGATTTGAAAAATAATGACTATTATTGTATACAATATATAAATTTGTTCGATGTATTAAATAATCTTTTACAATATATTTTGCCCTATTAACTAAATATTTAATAGATGACCCCCATTAAATTTATCCTACATTTAGCCTACCCCTTCCCCACTTAAATGCCTACCCCCCCCTTTTAAAGAATTGGAAAAGCTGCACGTAACCCCCTTCCCCGCTTATGTAGACGCTGTACCGGCTAAGCAAAATTGTTATTTTTATCTTAAATTAATTGTCTTATGTAACTTCCAACGCATTTAAACTTTATTTTGAAATTACTTTTTTTGTATTTCGAATAAATTTTTTTAAAAATATAAATACACATTATTATTCTAGATTAGACACTCAAAAATTTAGATTAAAAAATTTATACTTAAAAATAATACTTAAAATAATATTTGTTTGACTTAATTTATACTTGAAAATAATTTTATAACATTCCGAATAAATCTATTTAACAAATCTGGTCAAAAATTACAATTGCTTTGAAAAATCTTTCTTATTTTTTGGTCTAATAACTTAATTTTTGAAGGGTCTGAAAGTTAGATTTTTGGAATAAAATATATATTTATAAATTTGCCAATCTTTATATACCCCCTTTACTTACTAGCCTTTTCGATTGGAATTTTTTTAAAAATATGCTGAGTACTGACTTAAATATACATTTTATATTTTCCTCCTTTTACTATTTAATTATTATTTTTCGATTAGTTGGAAAAAAGATTTATTATGGAGAAAATTCGGCTGGCGCAATCATAAACAATATAGCATATAATAATTAACCTATGATAAATATAATCATTTATTATACAAATAGATAATGGTCTGTTCAGGAATAAAATTTAAAAAAAAGGGTTCAAGTCCAGGGTCCGGATTCGGGATTTGAAGAACATAAAGCCTCAAAATAACACCGTTTCTTTTTTATTTTTTATATTGCAAATTACACATATACATAATTTACAAGTAAACGCATTTAAAAATTAATTTATAATTTATATTTTAAATGTTTTATTTAATTGCATAGCCTTAAATCATTATAATAACATGTTATTACTTACACTACAAAACATAAATTATTTTTTTGATGGAAAACTCTAAATTAGGCAAAAAACATAACCAAACCTCTCTAAAATGATCGAACAATATGCAAAGCGACGAGAATAATCGAAACCTGTGCAACGATTGCACATAATTATAATCATTATTAGAAATTCGAAAATACAACTATGCAAAAATTAAGCATATAATCAGAGTATCACGCAAAAATTCTTATGAAAAGATGCAAAAGCACTTATCTAAAAATCATCCTGACTAAGATTTGCTAATTAACAAATATTATAACTATTTGTGCAATTATTTAAATTAACATTTTACGATTTAGTGATAAATTTTGCTGTTGGCCACTGTTAGATTTGTCCACCGTTATATTTTAGTCGTCTAGAAATTGTCAATTTTTTTTTTTTCAACGTATAACGAATATCAATTTTTTTAATCACATATAAAGAAAAAAATCCTGATATATCTTTTTTCTCCTCATGTATCTTTTTGAAAATCAATAAAAAAGAATATTTCTTAAAAAAAATCGATAATAATAATTCCGAGAATCAAATTATGAAAAATAAAAAAAAAATAATTCGTAGAATCAATGCATAAGTGATATTGCTCTCTCGTGCAAACTCAATCTACACGTTTGGTACCTTGACAATTGTACTATATCGGGGACATTTCTTCAATCCAGAATTGTCTAGATATAATCAACAAACACTTTGATGAACTTAATTTATCCATAAATATAAATAAATGCGAAATTTATCTTTCTCCGCCTCCAACAGACACCATATTAGATAACTTAAAACGGACACCCTTACAAGATTTGAGTATATTAGGAGCCCCCCTGGGAGGTGCAGAGGGAGTTTTTAATTTTTTAAATAATCACCTTCAATCACTATTCCCCAAACTATCGATCTTAAAAAAATTACCCATCCATCAAGCATATTACATTCTCAAAAACGCCCTTTTAATACCACAAATCCAGTATTGTTTAAAAACTTCTGGTGCCTTCTCTTTCGAAATTCTTTTAAAAGAATATGAACAAGATACTATAAATGATGACAGAGTTATTAAACATCAAACTCAATTCTAACTCATGGCTTAAAGCAACTCTCCCTTGTAAATCCGGAGGACTAGGCCTAAGATCGGCATTAAGTATAGCCCTTGTTTCCTTCATCTCATCAACCTTATCAGTAAAAAATATTACCTCGCAAATTATTACCATCGATAAAGATAATTTATTAGATGAAGCCTTACGTTGTTGGAATATTTATTGTCAAATAAAGAAAAGTTAGAACTAAAATATGATACTATACTTAAATATAAAGTGAAAACATAATCAAAATAAAATTAATATAAATTAAAATTAAAATTAAATTCGCAAAATAATAATTATAATCATCTTACAAGTAAAATATTCCCGATTATATATACTTTTCTATACTATTCATTTACATAGTGTTTAAACAACAAACTTAAAATCTTGAACTTTATTTAATCTGAATAATAAATCTTTTTTATTCATTTTTCTTATTTGAATATTTCAACATTAATGTCTTACCAAACACAGCCCCACCAGATTCAACGAAACAAAAAGATTGGGATCAAGGATTGGTATCTCGTTCCTTAGCTTACTCAACTTGAGCGATGATCACCAATATAAATTCCTCCTAAGATCACTTAATTTCAACAACTCTGGCGATGAATGGTTAGATTCATATCCCATCATTTATAACCAGCTAATAGATAACGAGGCTTTTCTTTCAATCAATTTACGCTAGGGCGTACCTTTCATAAACCATTATATTTGCATTAAATGCAATCAATCGGAAGACGCGTGGGAGACACGCTCTCCACTGTAAATTTATATCAAAAATTAGCCGACATAATAAAATAAATACAATAATAGTTTCCTTTTTAAATAAAGCCAATTTACCATGTATTTTAGAACCAACATCTTTTTTAGATAAAAAAACGCCCTGAAGGCAAAACAATCGTACCTTTTTTAATGGGAAAGCCTTTAAGATTTTACCTGCATTGATCCCATGGCCCCATCTAATAATTTGCATGATCCCTTTATCAGAGCCGAATCTCTAAAAAATATATAATACTCACACCTAATGTGTGACAACCACTTTGTTCCCATAGCAGCTACATCAACCTGCTCTTTTGGACAAGCGGTATTAGATCTCTTCAAAATAATATCCAAATCAGTAAAAAATCATACCTTTCTCCATTTTATAAACTCAAGCAGAAAAACGCCTTATCTATAATAAGATCTAATTATCAAATATTTAAAACATCGTGGCCCGACCTTGCCACTTGATATTTTTTTTAAAAAATGTTTTTCCTTTATATAAAAATATACATTTGTATCAATCTTTTTTTTTTAATTAAACTTATATATGACATATTTTATTATATTCTTTATATTATAATGTTAATTTTTGAATAATAATATTTTATCATATTTGTATATGAATTTTAATAAAAAATTAAATTTAAAAAAAATAAATAATAATAATTCGTAGAATCAATACAAAAAAAATAATCGATAATAGAAATTATATCTATTCATAACATCTCTCCCTTTAGAAAGAGAGTCTCCTGATTTGATTCGTAAGTGTCTTTTTTATTTTCGTGTCCTGCCTCCCTTTCCTTCCCCTTCCGAAGTGGAAGTTGATGGTCTTGTATGTGAGTTTAGTCTTGTTGGAATTCGTAAATTTTTTCCTCTTTGGATATTGTTGAATTCTTTTGATAGCCCGGCTAACGCCCAAATTTAGTGAATCAGTGGCGAACGAGGAAAAAACTTAAAATAATTCTTTAATAGCGCTATGAGATAATATTTCTTATGAGAATGTCAATGTTTTTCCAATTTAAAATAATGAAAATTCTTTCGCGAAATTATATATAATAAAATATGTAAATTATTGTGAAACTTCTGAAAATTATTTATCAATGATGACATTTACAAAACAATTTGGAGAAAATTTTATCAATTATTTTATAAGACTTAAGCGCATTTTGCGGCAAATAATATTACGGACGAAAAAAGAAAAAAGCGATAATTATTCTCTCATTACAATCTAGCGATATATATATTCTAGTCCAAATAGCTGTACCAAAAAATATTATGGATCTAAATTATTATGATATGTTAAATATTTTAAAGGGGAAGGAAGCATGTTACACTCCCGCGTTAGACCGTGAAATTTATTTTCAAAAATATGAAGAAAACAATAATAATTGTTTAATTATTGATTAAAAAAGCACGAATACAAAAATGATAATAATGTCAACGAAATAGATAAAGAAAACGAAAAAGTCAGGGATCAAGCACCCCACTCAAAAAAACCAATGTCTTGTCATATGGCTTCCATTAACTATTTCGTAAATCCTTACAGTTTAGCACTTGTATCAAGTATCGAGAAAAAAGAACAAGTACATCGAAACGAAAAAAATTTTCAAAGGATTTATTATCAAAGAATAAATTACACGCTAAAACCATCTAAATAATTTTACATGAGTGTAATAAAATTGATGTAGCACCCAAGTCTCCAACTAGACATTATCAAGATATAAAAATGAAAAATATTTTAAAGGATAAAAATAGGAGGAAAATCAAATCAAATAATGACAATATAAAAGTGAAAAATATTTTAAAGGACAAAAATAAGGGAAAAATCAAATTAAATAATAATAACGGACTTATGAATATTTCATTAAAATCTCACGATATATTAAACTAGATTATGACCATATCGAGAAAGTAAAAATCAAGGGAAAATATTCAGCCAAAATCAAGGAATACAAATTCGACATATGTAAATTAAAGATATTTCAATATAACTCCTGGGACGATGTATCAGCACTTCAGACTATATTAGAAGAAATCGAAAACAAAAAGATTAGGAAACGGGCGATCAAAAGAATTACAATATCCAAAGCGGAAAAAATTTACGAATTCCAACAAGACTAAACTCACATACAAGACCACCAACTTCGACTTCGGAAGGGGAAGGAAATGGAGGACATGAAAATAAAAAAGACACTTACGAATCAAATCAGGAGACTCTCTTTCTAAAGGGAGAGATGTTATTAATAGATATAATTTCTATTATAGTTTTTTTTTTTTGTATTGATTCTATGAATTATTCTCGATTATTTTTTTGTATTGATTCTATGAATTATTTTTTTTTAATTTTCATCATTTGATTCTCGGAATTATTATTTATTATTTAACATATTTATGGATTTTTTCTATGAAATATTATTTTTTATTGATTTTCAAAAAGATATATATATATTGAAGAGAAAAAAGATATATCAGGATTTTTTTCTTTATGTTATGATTAAAAAAATTGATATTCGTTATATGTTGAAAGAAAAATAAAATTGACAATTTCTAGACGACTAAAATATAACGGTTGACAAATCTAACAGTGGCCAACAGCAAAATTTATCAGCTTTATTGTTCTTTGAGTTTGGTTGTTTTATATTCTGAGACATCACCTAATATTATTCTTATTGTTATTGTGTACAAAAAAAATGTATAATCATTTACCCATTTTTTTCAAAGATTTCAAATCCATAAATGTCTAAAAGACCGATTTTTGTCGGGGCTTTAATTTCCTAATATAAATTTTAGATAGGTAATAAATATAAGATTATTTAATAGTTTAACTTACAACTCCTGAAAGAGTTACGTTTATTCTTTTGACTAGCCAATTGAAACATCTTTCATACATTGCCTTTATTAACGAATCTCTTGAGTTTATAGCTTGAGATTTGTTATAAAATTTTTTAACCTGGAATATTATATAGCATATAATTAAAATAAGATGATTTTAAAAAAATATTAAGGTTAACCATATAAGCCTCAATCAATGTCTCATTCCAAAAAATATGTAAAGGCTCATTCCTTAATTATGTAAATCCTATTCTATTCCTAAACTTTTTTTATATTCACTTATTGAGACTGGTTAATTGGCCGGCTGTCAACTTGAATATACATTAAAGATCAGTACGGTCAGGCCTTGCTAAGAATATTCTTTCCAAGACCGTAATATAATATTGCAAACAGCTATTAAATGTTAATGATATTAAAATGAACATGAAATACCCAACTCTTTATTTTTTTTAAACTTTATTTTTTTAAATCTTATTTGTAATTGAGATTTAAGAATGTATGTATATATGATAATCAATAAGCAAAAAAATGGGGAAAAAAAGCTGGGCTTATATTAAAGAATTAATGTTTTTTAACATAGTTACTTTCTTGACATCGTTTCTAGGGTTCAAGGTTCTAGTTAGGAATCTAAACTGAAGCATTGAAAAAAAAATTGAAAACATAACAGAGACCTGCAAATCCAAACTAAAGCCTAGAACATTCCCGTCTGTAAAATATTCTAAAAAAAATCCCGGGCTTAAAAAATTTTTTTTACAAAACCCGGGCAGACAGATATAAAAAAATAAAATTAATCAGTTAGAAATTTATATAATTAAGAGTTTAATATTTGCTCAGCATATTTCAATTTCCCTTTGAAACAATTAACAACAAATACAGTCAAAATTATAAAAAATAAGGAGATTTTAATTCCGAGCCGGACCAATCTGTTTTAAATGTTTAAAATAATTAAAAATAGGGAGGTTTCCAATGATGTTGATTTAAACCGTTAACCCTGCATCTAAGACGAAGATTAATATAATTTTAATAAGAAATGGGCAGTATTATTAATTATTTTAGGGATGAAGGTATTTTAAATTTTTAGCAACTTATTAATTATCAGGTTTTTATGGACTTCTGGTTAGTTTTTTTAATTTTTTTAAGTTAATTTAAAAAATATTACAATTTTTATTTCTTGCTTTGATTTTTTTTAACACGGTCACTTACGCTAGTAAATTGGAAACAGAATTTTAGCAAATTATTGGATAGGACAATAGTAACGTTATCACTTATTTCGGTGGAACGTAAACTATTAAAAATTAAATTTGAGGTTACCACCTTTTTTACATGATTAGGCGCGTAGCCAGCAGTGGGGGGGGGGGGGTTATACAAATATCTTTTACAGCCAATAAATTTATATTTTATTTAATATTTTTATAAATACTATTAAATAATTACTTATTTTATGGATTTAGGCTGAGACCTCCATGCCCGACCAGGTACACGGGCCAGGCCGAACAGGATCTGGCCTAAAAAAAAATTTAAGGGTAGGGGTAAATTTTTTTTAAAAAAATACCCAAGCAGTGATGTATATTTTAAACCCTATATCTTAAATCGCCATTATTAGTTATAAAAATTAAAAATAAATGTAATATATTTTGAAAAATTTGGGCCGAGCCTGAAAATATAAAACCCTGGCGGGGCCGGGCAGAAATTTTTTTAAAAAAAATCCGGGCCTTGCCGTGCAGATGGTATCTTTGCACTCTGGATTTAGGAAAGCTTATTATATAACAGAATCATTAAAAAGGGCCTTTTATAGTACTGATAAATTTTTAAAAGATTTCCATTAGAATATATCAGAGACCTGCAGGCTCTGCTCTAAGTCTGGGCCGGGCCGTATTTTAATTTTTTAAATGTCCGGGCCAAGTTGTGCCAAAAATTTTTCTTAGAAATTGGGCAGGTTTAGTATTGCATAATCAATACCATCTAAAATCAATAAGGTATTTATTTTATAATATTGATAATTTATGACCGAACCTCAACTTTTATGAATAAAATCTAAAATATAATTTACAAATCTTTGAATCGACATTTATAGATGAATCGACAATTATAGATTAGCACATCACAAATTTTATAGATTCTCATTCAATTAATAAGGTATTTGAATTCATATTATCATTTATAAAACTTTGATCAACACTTATAGAGCACATCACAAAATTTTATAGATTCATTCAATCATTAAGGTACATTTAATTTATTTGAGTTCATAATATCATTTATAAAACTTAGACAATTATAGATCACTTCACAAAATTTTTAATGTATCAAATTGGTAGGGGAGACCAGGGATATAATGACCCCGGGTTATAGCGAGAAGTGGCTTTATTTTCTAGAGTTTTAAACTCTACGGGATAATTTTTTTACCACAACTATATAATTATATAATGCATATGCGGCTATAATTTTTATTTCTCGGACAGCTTGAAGAATTTTTATAATGCATTATATGATTCGTACCTGCAAAAGTAACTTTTTAAACTTTTACTATTTTTCAAAAATAAAGATTAATATACATTTTTATCACCTAAAAATCATTTTATATAAAAGAAAAATCCTATTTTATAGAATAATAATTTAACCGAACAAAATATATATTATAAAACTTCAAAATATGATCTTAATCAAAGTGATGGTATTGGGGCTATGAGGTTAAAACGAGCCTTTTTCCTAAGGCCATGGAGAGAGCAAATATAAGAAAAAATTCAAAAAATGTTAATAATAAGAAAAACAGTTGTTTAGCGTGCAAAAAAATTATTACAAGCATCTAACAATCAAGAGTCGTAAATATATTTATTGGTCACATGTAAGATGTTGCAATTTTAATCCTTTTTTGATTTGCAAAGATTGTGAATAATGTTTTTGTTTATAAATGATTTTATATATTACTTTTATGCTTTAAATCATTAAATATGTTCTAATAAAAAAAATATATAACTTATATGTGGAAAATTAGCATAGCTTATAATACCCCCGAGCAAAGGTAGGTTCGTCCCCAGGTAATCTCGTTCCCAAAAAAAAATTCCAGAAAAATAAAATTTTGAAAAAAGTATTAGATATATATTTTTGAATTTAAACTTACCATAAAACTAAGAGCTGAACAAAATGAGATATTTTTTGTTAAAAATGCTAAAGTAATTTTAATTTTATTAAGGTTTGCCTTTTAAAGTTCGCCATAACCCTGTCTCCCCTATTATTAAATTAGGAAAAGTGTTAAGAATATAATAGACCTCAATCGGTGATTATTGAGTACTATAGAATGTGAAACTATAATCAAAGTATCAATATAAGAGTATATTATTAACTATAAATTATATTTGATTTGATAATACAGATTATTTAGGTATTATTAAAATGTGATTCCTAATAAATTTCTGAAATTTAAGATATTTAATAATAACCCTAAAATAAATTTTAGAATTTTTTTCAAAAAATTATATAACTATGCCTTCCCCCCCCCCTTCCAAAGCAAACTTCTAGCTGCGCGTCTTATAATTTACTAACATACAATATAAAATAAAATATTTTATTTAACCATTTTATAAGAATATGCCTTTAAGGAGAACATAGCCGAAGGCCAGAAAAAGTGAGCCTAACACCCGTAAAATAGGGATTTAAGAGCAATTCCCTATAAAAATGATGCCTCAATAAAATATTTCCCACGGTGCCCATCGCCAGTCCCATGTTTATTTTTCCCAAAAAATGGAGGGAAATTTCTGATTCATCTATCTTATCATTACATAAAGGAGGAGTATTTATAACTCACCTGTCATTTTTTGACCGACTATCTGCTGTATACAAAAGTTATATTCATAATGATACCTTTTCACCACCCACTGTAATAGTTCTTCCTGTTAATCCAGAATTCATCAGATTAGCATCAGCGTTTATTAACTATTAAAAAATATTTAAGATATAAAGGATTTAAATTACTTCAACAATATAATCAGGCTCTTTGCACGGTTGGATTTTACTAGTTTCTCCCTCTCCCTCAAAAACTATTTCAGCTAGATGTAAACAACAGGCAACTATCGCATATACATCCTATATCAAAAAAGGAATGATTTAAACACATTCTGTTGAGTCAATTTTTGAAAATAATATTTCTTTTTTTCAAGGAGAAAGAGAAGGATCTTTTTTCGAATTAGTAAGGTTACAAATCAAAGGAATACGTTTTTGGTAATCTATTTGATTCAAAAAATTTAAAATAATTTGCTTTTTCCTTTCTTTTTCTTTAAAAAAAATATATATATTATTAAAATATAAATTATGGGAATATCATAAAAAAATCCTTCATCTAATCCTTTTATTTGGCGTAGCCCCGATCTTTGACATATTTTATTAAAATAAAACTATTCAAAACCATTATATATTAGGATTCGGGGTTAAATTTGGTCACAACATATTATTATATGATAAGTTATAAATAGGCCTACAAAAATTAATAAAACAAGACTTCATCTAGATTCGTCTAATAAAATTGTGTTTTCTAAATATTTCAAAAGTTAAAAAATGGATAATTATTATATCAAATTGGGAAATAAATAAAAATTAACAAAATGCTCCACAAGAAACCTGTTGCACACTTATGAATAATTTAAATATTTAAGAATAATTCATAATATTTTCAAATAATACAATGGTTTAGAATATATTGATTGAATGATTAAGAGATTATTTTTTTACAAATATTTTTCTCATTATTCGTATTTAAATCAAATAAGAATAACGAATGATTCGTTATACATAGGTTTAATTATAAATTAATTATAATGAGATTTTATAATTTTTTAACGAACCAAATAATATAATTTATACTCAATACCTGTTATTCATATTGGTAAATAATAAGAATAATTAATAATTTGTTTTAATTAATCTATAAAATAATTTATTCTTCACCATTTCGTATATTTTTGACATATGCTTTATTAATTTAGGCTTAGTTTTTAATTGAAAAAAAGCCAAAAAATCTAGAAATCACAGTTGCATCATTCATAGAACGGCTATCAAATATTAATATAAATATCTAAGAATAATGAATGGGGTCTTTTATCCAAGAATATTTCCAAATGACAAACTATGGATGGTGTTCAAAAACATCCCAATTCATAACCTATTAACGTTTTCCTAACTTAGTTATACTCAATGGAAGATATATAACAAATATAAGGCGCTATGGTTCCATTGAGTTATAAAAGACGTAATGAATTTAAACATAGATATGAAATTTTCTAAAATTAAACCATTAAAAGACCAATAAAAAAAAACTATTTAATATCAAATCAAGTTTTAAATGAATTCAATCACCCTTCTCTTTTCAAAATCTATCCACGTTACAAGTATAAATTTTTTAGTTAAGTCTTACCTTTATATATTTAACACTTGGATTAGGCAAATAGTATTAAATTCGAGAGTGGTTTCCATTTCTTACTTTAATTACACGATCACAGTAATTAAGTATTTTCTTCTTACTAATTTCCTCCCTATAAATTAACTAATGAATTATAAGTTCTTGGGTGTGGACTCTTTTCTGTCAATTTTTGTGATTAAATTTTTTTATATTCATTTCAATACTTGATAATTAAAATATTTATATAATTTCCTAAATTAACCACAATTATATAACAAATATTTATAGTGTTTAACATAGGTTTCCTTTGTCGTAAACGTACAAACTTCCATTGCTTTAACATTTTGATCAAAATCTTCTTTATCATCTATTTTATCGACTTTCATGCAAGCTCCCTATACATTAATTACAATATCATTAATATAATAAATATGCAAGTTGCATTCCTACCTGGTTTATTAGACAATACTGATCTTTGGGCTTATTAAGATATAATTTTTGTAAAAGTTCTGCATCACCCGCTAAAAGCTGATAAAATATATGAAAATTTCTCTCCGCTTTAGCTTGTTTTATCACTCTGGCCTTTTCTAAGAGATAATTTATAACTTTTGCCCCAACTATCGCACCCTATTTAGTGATATGAATTATATTTAATCTTTACATATTGTATACTCTAAAATTTATTTCGATATCCATGTATTTCCCAAATCTGCTTGAGTTATCATTTCTAATAGTTTTGGCATTTCCAAAAGCCTATATATAAATATTAAAATTTACACTAAAATAAAATTAAAACTTCTAAAAATGGTACACTTTCTTTAAGTTGATAACAAACTCTCTCCACTTCAGTTGATTGATGACTAGCTTTGGATATATAAAGGATAATTCTTTTTAAAGCTTCAGTTTTTCCGGCACCCGATTCACCAGATATCAAAACACTTTGATTTACATTATTATTAATAAGAGCTTTGTAGGCATTATCGGATAAAGCGAATCTATTTAGTAAAAATTGTAAATTATATTGTAAGATGTTAGTGAGTGTAATTTTCTAAAATTATTTTTATTAAATAAGATGAATTAACAACCAAAATTAGCTCTGTAATACAATTATTTACTTTTTATATTTAAGAGAATATGGTGGGTTAAATTTTAAAATAGATACTGCCATTTGAAAGTATGAATGAGTGGAGGGGGGGGGGGGGGTCGCATAGATTATTAATTTTATTTTTTGTTCGTATCGGGATATGGAATCCATGGAGAATCGGAATATCTCGATTTTAAAACATTTATTTAGGGCAATTTTTATATTTAATTGTATTTCTAATTTTTAAAATACTCTCCTTAGCCAAGGAAGAGGAACCATCATGATATGTTCAAGTTTTGTTTTTTAAATTTTAAAGAAAACTCCTCTAATTTAGGGTCATTTTTCATATATTTATTATATATATTAAAGGTGACTGAAGTAATTAATGTAAAATGGTTTGAAATCCACGTAGGTTTTCTAAACCATTCAAAAATACATTTCAGGCAAAATCCCATTTTTTCTTTTAAAAACGCTCTTAACATTGAAAATATAACCTTTTGTAGAAGAAAATAAATAGATGCTAACATGCTTTCTAGGGTCAATTTATTGCACGTATCTCTTGTTATTCAATAAAAGTACTTAATAAAATAAATGAAATTAAGATGTATCTAAACAAGTTACCTAAATTTTACCAATATTATTTTGTTTCCAAAATAGAAATTTATTTTGATCATTTTATATTTCAATTAAAAAATATATATATACGTGTCCAATAAAATTGACATTTATTATTGCTATAGAATTGCTTTTTATTCCATAGGAAATGTTTCTACTTAAACAGTTTCTCTTATTTTTTTTACTTCGGACAGACTTCATTGTATTTTCTAATTGTATATTATTTAAGGGGAATGGGGGGGGGGGGGGGAGGGGTATAACACAACACCATCATTGAAAATGAAAGGAAGTAAGCCTGACCAGTATCTATCCCACTTTGAATAAAATTAAATAAGGTAGGGGGTAGTTTTGATTTGGATTTCCTTTTTTGATTATTTTGATTTGGTAGGGGAGGATAGTTAAAGGTCTATTTCTTTCACACCTATTTGAACATTTTATTTGTTAAAAAATTCTTGATATATTAATTTTAAAAATTTAGATTACGTTAAAGTCTTTAATTTGATTCATTATTATGATTTCTAAAAACAATATTTACATATTTTTAAAACTCTTTTCAATATAAATTTGTTCTGTTTTTATAAAAAAATATGTTATGATATTTAACACGTTAGTTAAATTGATCTAAAACAAAAAATGGTTAATGTAAATTATTTGAACAACAGAAAGTAATAATATAAAAAAATTAAAATAAAATAGACATTAGCTTAGCATATAATAAATTGAAACAAGTAAAAATTAGAAAAGGATGCATTACAATATGGATTTGATATGGGGAATAAGATAGCATTTAAATAAATAGCCCTTAAGTGGTAAGGGAAGGGTTTGAGTAAACTGCAAATGCATAGGTTAACTGCAAATGCCAAGGTAAACTGCAAATGTTTAGGTAAAAATATTTGATATATTTTCTATTAAATTGAAGTGAGAATCATTTTCTTATGATATAAATAAATAATTTATAAAAATTAAATTATTATATATAATCAATAATAAATGAATATACATATAGTTATATTTCCTTTTATCTCATATTTTAAATCCTTTAATATAAATTAAAAATAATTATAATTACATTCTATATTTTATTAATAATAAATCCGCAAGTTGGCGTATTATTATTTTATGAAAAAATATTAAAAATTTTTTTTTGTTTTAGTATATTTTTAAATCATATTATATTATTATTAAAAAGGTGTTTGACTAAGGCTGCCTTCAAAGTGCATAGAGAACTGCACAGGCTGTCCGTAGCTCGACCCGAAGACTCGGGTGGGGTTCGGATAAATATTTATATAGATATCCTAAATTATCACTATAATTCATAATGTCAATTATAAATCCATATCATATTTTATTTATTACATTTTATTCTTAAGATATCGATCAGAATAGCATTTCATTTTCAATTATTATTTTATAATTTACATAACAACTATATACCAAACTATTTTATCTGAATATTTTAGTACATTGCATTGCATAGTTAGCGATATTATTATATACTTTACTTTCATCATATTCTATCAAGTTAAATTAAATATATTTTACTAATATCTATTTAATTAAGTAGCCTCATATTTTCATATTAAAAAAATTATTTCAATGGATACCAAATTAAAAATAATTGGTGAAAAGATTAAGAGCAATGAATATGAATAAGGGAAAATGCAAATGGCAAATCCGCGGTCTGGAAGACGTTTTCATTTATATATGATGAAAACAAAGTAAAACTTAATTATGTAAGTTGCAATTTTTGCAAATATATGCTTATAATTCAATAACAACATACATAAAATATATGATATTATGAAATTAATGAATATTAGCGAACTCTGAAAACTTAAAAACTTGAGGTCATTGTTTGTTAATAATTGCTATGAAAACGGATTAAAAATTAAATACTCGAAGACAAAGTTAATCGCGTCCAATATATTTGCATCTAACACAGACCCCTTTAACTTTGATGATAATGTGGTAGAAACTATTTCAGATTTTAAATACCTAGGAACCAGGATAATGTCATTAGGCACCACGATATTGGATACTAAGTCGAGGACAAACAAAACCAGATCCCGATCAGATATCCACGAACCAAAAGATAAGACTCTTCAAATCCCTAATTCTACCCATCTTAACATACGGAGAAACATGGCAGGACACTAAAAGCAATATCAACACATCCCAAACCCTTTTAAACAAATGTCTAAGAGAATTATTAAAAAATACTACCGATACAACTCCTCAAACTCAACTCTCTGGAATAGGTGCGACATCTTACCTACCAATCGACTCATTCCTTTGAGGAGATTAGAATTACATAGTCATTGCTTAAGACATTCACAAGAAATTATGATATTTTCGTCCATGAAGTGGCCCAGATTATGGGAGGTAGAGAATTCCCAAATACTATTGGCTGGCAAAATGTCTAAAGGACATGGACTTGATCAATCTTTTGTTTACAGATTTTTGGCCCTCAGCAAAAACAAGAAACATTTAAAGGAACATCTACAATACATGCTTAAATATGGTCTAAACTAGAGCAGGAATCGTGGAAGTATTAGACTATTCTCGCACCGTCTTATTTCCAACCTCTTCTCTCCGATTGAATGGAAATTTATGTTTTGGCTCAGGTTATATTGGAATTATGGATTTGTCTTTTTCCTTTCCCTACTGGATAAACATTTTGACGAAGGCAATGATAATCTAACCGTGAATAATAATAATAATAACAATTCCGGGTTCACTATAATAATGATAATGTGGCAAATAATGAGGATCCTGAGCATCGCTTGCTTTATACAGACAAGGATTTAGACACTATTGACTCTAGTGAATGAGAAAAATTAATGAAGGAAAAAACAGGAAAAAAATCAAACAAAATGATAGTAGGCTCTTTAGGATAATGGGTTTCAGGGATTGAGATTAGAATTACAGGGAAGTTGGATGCCTCCGGAATAGAACACGCTATATAGACATAACGTTATCCAGGGGCGGACTGGCCATAAGACCCGGTGGGCATTTTGCCCACGAGGCCGCGAGAAAATGTCGATTTTTGAGGCCGATCAGAGGAAAATATCAAAATAGAGGCCGATTAGAAAAAAATTATTATTATGTTCACATTATTTTCTCTTATCATTTATTTATTTTTAATGATATCCCTATGATTTGAATATCACATTCCTTGAGAATTGTCATGTCGTTTACTATATTTTAATGCATAATATATCAATAACGTCGCTTGTCGCTACACATCATTACCACGTTCTTTTCTTTGTTTTTTTCAAATGAAGTGAAAACGCTTCTGTTTGAGTAGAGTGAAAGCTAAGTTTTGATTAATTTATTATATTATATTTTATGCATCGATTAATTGTAGAAATAATATAGCCAACATTTCTTGTTCTTAATTCATTGAAATCAAATAAAATCCAGGTCGGTAAATCAGATAAAAGGATGGATGCTTGGGTAAAACAGAATAATTCATCTGGCCAAAATAAGTTGAGAAGGCTGCTAAAAATAGGTGAGATAAGGTGGTGGGCACGTGAAAAACCTTAGATGGATATATGGTAAAGAGAGCTTGCTCCCAATAACGATAAAGGCACTTTAATTTATAATAGATAATAAATAATTTGAGACAAAAACTAGATAATTTATGTAAATTTATGACTCTAAGTACAGCTATAATATATTTGGAAATTTTTAAAATAATGAGGCCACTGTCATATCTTCAAACTAAAAAATTAGGTACTTTGTCAGCATGGAAAATGTAAGAAGATGCTAAATCTTCTGTATCATCGTTTCAAAATAAAGCAATAAAATGGCTGCTAATTTAAATGAAACATTTTCATATTTATAACTGCCGGAGAGTATCTGAGTACAAAATGCTCTGTAAAAAGATCGAATAAGGCGAGCGAAGAGAATATATAGTGACAAATGCCAAGATGAACGTCCTCAAGAATCGGTTGACCTTTATAGGTTCGAACTATTTCGTCCTATCCGGAACTACTTTCTGCGAATTGAGAGCTTATCTTGAATGTGCAATATTTGCATCCAAGTGATGAAATAAATAGTATAGGTATTTCTGAAAAGGCCTTGGAAAAACTGGCACAGCATATATATTGAGTGTTAAATTTCATAACGAATTATGTTCATTTGCCAGTGTATTCAAAGATTTGATAGCAGAATTAAAAGAAACGGACGATAATATCGCATGTACAAGTGAGGAGTCAAATGAAGATGGAATATTACAATATGATAATAAATCAGTGTGATAATAAATGTATCAAGTGTTTAATATGCGTGTATGAAATTCTTAAAAGATACAATATGCATACAGTGACACTAATTTATTTTTGGCTTATAAATACATTTTAACTTTATCATTTACGCAGGTTAATTTCGAGAAAGCATTTAGTAAATTAAAAATTATAAAAATAAGCTGAGAGCTAATATTGACCAAGAAAAATTAGAAGCGTTTTTAATGATGTAAGTTGAACGAGAACTATTAGCATAGATTGAACTAGAAGATATTCCTGTATATTTGCGCAAAGGTTCAAAGTTAATGAGAGATTTATTAACGTAAAAATTATATATTTTCTTAATTCTTTTATTAGAATCTTATTAATATTATTTACAATATGATCGGTGCCTGATCTTATAAAAGTGCAGCAATTTCATTATCTGTAATATTGTATAACTGCAATAATTTTATATTTATAATTAATTGATTTAAATTGAGTATCCATTTTTTTTTATATTTAACATGTGATGTATGATTTAATTTTATAGTGCAATATCGTTGTAAATCTAGTATAAAATATATTTTTTCGATGAATATTATTTTATATAGGTAATGAATATGATTTTAGATGTGCATTTTTTTAAAATAAAATATATGATTATCTTATAATACTATTCTTATTTTTACTAAAAATGTAAAACGTTTGAACTTATTTTCAAAAAATAAGAAGCCATTTAAGGAAACACGGTAAAAAGACCGGGCAAAAGTGAGCCGAAGCCCCGCAAAATGGGGGTATGGGGGTTTCGCCTTAATGAGGCCGCTATAAAAAATGCCCACGAGACCGTAGCGTCGCCAGTCCGCCCCTGACGTTATCTTGCAAGGATATACTTACCTAACATAAGACTTACTTTTTTTTCATCTCTTAAATATCTAACCAGGCGTCAGGTACATTATTAATATTGGTTACAATTTCTTAACACTATCTTGCCGGTAACGGAACTAATAGATCCCCTCTTTCTTACTCCTCTCTTCTTTAATATGCTAGCTGACTATATAGTGGTACCGTCCACTATAATAAAACGGGTATACATCATGTATAGGATCTATATACTAGTGAATAAACATGGTGCACCCTACAACTCCTGGTGGGTGATGAAATTGCACTCGTGCAATTTCTGGCGTGGTAATGAACGAATGAATAAAATATTAGTACATATTTGTTTTCAAATAATCTTATTTTAAAATATAAGTTAAAATGAGCTTATTTTCAAATATATTTATAACTTAAAAATAATTAAATGAATGTTGCAGAAACATCATTTAACATAAATTAAACACATAAAGATTAAAAATAATTATCAATTATAAATAAATTTCCTTTATTAAAATAGAAATTAAATAATTTACATATGCGGCGGCAGTTCAGCCAAGTTCATAGTCCGGTAATTATTTACAACTTGTTCAGAATATACTCCAATATTTTTATATGGGTTCATTGAAACTAGAACTGCACCAATATAAGTCTTTAAAAATATGATTATTTAATTTACTATATTTCAAAACTTACATATATAATGTCTTTTTCAAAACGTAGTCGCAAATTATTTACTATTTCTTTAGGAGTAACAGTTTCCAGTAGTATTAAATTATCAACTCCGACTTCTTCATATGACATGGTTAAATAAACTTTAAAAAATATTTTATATATAAAAAAACATAAAATACAATTTATGATAAAGAATATTCTATTATTAGTAATTTAATTTTAATATTATATAGGTTATAGAATTAATATAATATTTAATTTTTCAATAAAATAAATGGAAATTTAGAAAGAGCTGAACTGTAAGTGCAAATTTATTAAAAATATTTCGAGATTAAGTAATTAGTTTGTTACATATTTGACATACCTGTACTGATTATGGCCCAAATAACTATGCAGGCAATATAATAGTTCACTCATTATACGATTCAGTATATCTTGAATTCAATTTTGTAAATAGTACAATCTTAAACATAAAAATAATTTGTGACTATTACGGTTATTTTTGGTAGAATTGTCAATTATTTGATGTTTTGGAAAATAAAATAAATTAAGCCATAATATGTATCAAGAATTAAATATATCTTTAGATAGATTGGGAGGTAATTGTAGTAAACAAGATTTTGTACCTAAAATAGAAGAAAATTAAAATTAAATGCAAATTCTAATTCTAATTTCTTTATTAAATTATAAATTATATATAAATTAATCAATTCTAAAAACACAAAAGGAAAAATTAACAAAAATTAAAAGAAAAATAATATAAGAAAAAGTGAAAATCTACAATTATCACGCGTTTTCATCTCATTTACATAGATTGGGATCTAAATAATAACTTAATAATTTTAATAAAACATTATATTTGTTTGAATATTATCATAATTTGAATAATGCATTATTTTATAACGCAATAATAGAACAGTAATAAAATTTGTAAATTGGATATATTAATCTGTCTACGGTAATATATTAAATTATCTAGTTAATTAATGAATTTTCTAAGTCATACAGTTTATCTGATTACATTATGTTATAATATTTAAATATCATGGTAATATTTAAATTAATATTTAAACTTTATCTAAAATATTTAAAATTATTTTATATTATTTATATAAAATTATCTCATTAATGTTAAAATACTTATTACTTATTTATTTATCATTTACCGAAAATATTTGACCCCTTATTCATTTAAACTTCATTTATATTATATAAAATTTTATGAGAACAATATATTAATTATACTTTTTAATAAAGAACATGTTATGATTTTATTTATATTAAAGTATAAGATAATTTTTACTTTTGATAAAATATAAAAGACTTCAAATGAAATCGTCATAATATAATTTAGAAATAAAACCCTACCTGCCTCACATAGGTGATCGGCATCAGGCCTAATTTTTCAAGCCCTGCCTGGCCCGAAATTTTTTTCAAAAAGTTTTGCTCGGCCCGGCCCGAACCCAAAATTTTTTTGGACAAAAATATACCGGCCCGGGCAGGCTCGAATTTATTTAAATAAAAAAATTAATTTTTATTATTCCTCAAAATAAACGATATATGTTATATGGCGTCTAGTTTCTATAAATAAAATCAAATATTTTTATTTTACATAAAAAATTCAATATAAAATTGATAAATTTAGACATGTTTAAAAAAAAATTTTAAACCCGACTCGGCCCGAATTTTTTAATAAATATTAGGCCCGACCTAGTCCGAACCCGATTTTTTTTTAAAAAAATAGGCCGGGCTGGGTTTGCGCCGAGTAGGGGTTGGGCCTACTTTTGCAGATCTCTAACTCACATATCAGTATTGTTGTTATAAAACCCGATTTGGGTTTTAAAATTGTGGCCAAAATAATGTTATGTAAGCCTGAAGATTAATATATTGCAGAAAGGTTTGGACCTCTATTTGCCAAATCTCTGGCTTATATAATATTATTTTGGCTAAACTCTTAATCGGGTCATATTTAAAAATAGACCCAAATCTGGCTTTTTAACAAAACTATATATCAGAACAATAATAATATGAAAACAATTTGTCATAATTGCTTAGAGATTGAAATTACTAAATTAAATGGCAGAATCACGGCAATCCCACTTGTTCTTTTCCTAATGAAATTTGTCTATTTGATACATATTCTTTAATTTCAAATTTTGGGAAATTAACTCTTAATTCTTAGGTTATTTCAGATCCCAAAACATCATTTCTTGGGGAAGTTCATATGCCCACAACCCTTCAACTATTCCTAGAATACCCAAAGAAGCCCGTGTATTATAAGTTGATTTTTAAACCCTATATATATATACCAAAACTATTAGATAATTATAATTTATTGCAATTATGGAGGTGAAATAAAAAAATGTAACCAGTCACATTAAAAAATAAAATCATATACAGTTATCTATTAGTTAATTTTTTACTTTTAAAAATATTGATGCTTCGCCTGATATATATAAAAACTTAGAAACTAAAAAATAAATGAAACTGATATTGATGGAGCCATCCTTTTGGCTTTCAACGGATAACATTGCGATAATAAATAAACATATTTTTAATATTTTAAGTAATAAACATCTAGTATAATCCATTGATTTTATATCAATATCTTTTACAAAAATCACCGCATCCTTTATACCCTGAAGAAGTATTTCTAGCCCTCAAATTATTTAAAAAAGGTTCTGCTAAAGATCTAAATGAAATTCAATCATCACATATATATATGTTAAAGATAAAAATTTTTAGAATAATTGTTTAAGATAAAAAAATTAAGTTTTTTTAAATTATTTTTACTTACTTGTTTTACCTTAAATAAATATTCTTAGTTAAAATTCTTTCTTTACTTGTTAAAACAAGATAAAAATAGATTTATTTTTTTGTACATTGATAAAATAAAAAATTTTTTTTGTTATAATAAAAAGAAAAATAAAATTTAATACTTTTTTAATAAACCACATTTAGCCGCCGACCCCATCATCTATAATATATATATATATATATATGATCTTTTGACCTTTTTGGAACATCCTTTATTAAAATATCAATTATTTTGTATTAAAATATTGAATTGAAACATAATATTTTAAGCCCGCGAGGCATAGATTTTTTGGTGCTAGTATAGTTGCTTTGTTATAAACCAGAATGTTGTCTTTGGCCTATAACTATATTCACATTTTAGAAAACATATCTCCAAACAATAGATAATAGAATTAGAAAACATAGTTTCAAATCTTCAATTAGGTTTTGGAATTAAAGGAGAATGAAATAGTTGCTCATGCTGTTATAATATACCTTAATAATATTACTTCAGACAAAGTGACATAAGCTTGATTTGCATAATTTCTTTATTTTTATCTATAGAAAAATTTATATTTCTTATTTTTTATCTCACTTTCCATACTTGTAATGATTCCAAAACTTCTCTTATTCCATTTGCCAAGATACTGAAGAAGTCATTTAACACGGAGACCCTTTGGGTCCTCTTTCATTTAATCAGACATTAATTCCTATGTTAAAGATTTTCTACTTATGTGATGGTATTCTATGCTGCGATTTACCTAATACTGAGAAGATAGTTAATTATATTGATTCTTTATCTTATTGTATTGAACTTTCTCTGAATATAATTAAATCCGAAATATTCTTCCTTAGATCTCAATTGGTCATGACAGAATTTTTAAATGTAGTAGACTTTCATGCTTGAGTTACATATTGGCGGATCTCCTCAAATTCTTTCAAGATTTTTTAATAAAAAATTAAGAAACCTTACACATATTCAATCAAATCTTGATAAACTACCTAGATATCACTTCATTCCTTAAAAGTTTTTTTTTACCTAGATTAAGTTCAGATGTTCACTGTTCTTTATCTTTCTTTCTTTCTTTCTTTCTTTCTTTCTTTCTTTCTTTCTTTCTTTCTTTCTTTCTTTCTTTCTTTCTTTCTTTCTTTCTTTCTTTCTTTCTTTCTTTCTTTCTTTCTTTCTTTCTTTCTTTCTTTCTTTCCTTCCTTATTTTTACTTTCCTTTTCTGTGATAAATACTATATAAGATATTAATATATTTCATACACTTTACATTACAGTTTATTTGGATTATATTATCATGATTATTGTATATATTATTGACGTTCTTTACAAATTTAACAGAAATTTGACATATGACATAATCAATCTTCTTATTTTAGTAGAACTCAAGTAGAAAAGATAAGATCACTCCCTTTTTTTAAAAAAATATGTTAATATTAACCTTTTTATTCGTATGTTGTTACTATACACAAATATTCTTTAATTTTTTATATTGTGAAGGTAATTTATATACAATCATATTTTAGTTATTTATATAAAAAATAGAATTATCTTTAAAGAAAAATCCATGTACAGCTAAAAAACATTGTGGTGAATGCATTGTCACCCATTATAAATGTGCTTGGTGTCAAAAAGAAGTTTTCCAATATATTAAATATTTATTAATTTTTTATAGGATTATGGCTTGGATGGAAAGCCTAGATGTGATTTTTTGCATAATTTGATGGAAAGGGGCTGTGAAATATCTAAAATAATAGATCCCACTAATTTTTTACAAAAATTAATTGTAACTTTTAAAAAATAAAATTAATATTGTAAAATATCTTAGAACAAGCCTTTAAGTCATCCTGGAACTGTAGAAAATTTTGTTCAAATAGCTCCTCAAGCATTAAAAATTGGGATAAGACCTAGTAATTTAACTTTTATAATTATAGATTGCTAAAAATCTTATTTAGAAAAACCAATTACATTCAAAGTAAAATTTAGACAAGCAGAGGATTATCCAATTGATTTATATTATTTAATGGATTTATCAAATTCTATGGAAGATGATAAAGAAAAATTAGCTCTTTTAGGGGATCTATTAGGTTTATGATTGTAAAATTATATTACCGATAAAATATATTATCATAATTGACACCTGCCTTTAGATACTGAATTATTTCAAATGTTTGTTATTTGAATTTTTCTTATAAATTTATTTTTATTTAATAAATGTTTATTTAACATTTAAAGAATTATTGATATTTAAATAGATACACCAGGAATTATTTTGAGGGTCACTAAATTACTTGTTTAACTCATGATAATTTACCTGAAAATTTATGAAATAAAATTCCAACTATACAATATGGCATTATTTAGGTGGTAGGCTATACCATATCCTACACAGTGTTATTTAGTTACTAGGCTAAACTACACCTTCTAAGGTGCCATTTAGTTATATAGACTACCACACCATGTAAAGTGTTTGGTAGAGAATTATATAATATCTATCATTTTTCAAGAAAATTTTATACCTCACCTAATTATAAATTTGATTAAGTTTTGTTGTTTTGGTTTTAATTTTGAATTATTTTATGATGATTTTTTAATTTCGTTATTTGAGCTGTAATGCTAGGCATTATCAATTATCAGGATTCTCAAGTCAAAATTTTCAAATTGTGGGAGAAATTTGGTCAAAATTTTTTCTAAAGTTTGAAGATAATGGAAATACCATTTTGCCCTCCCTGATTTGTTGCTATAATTTTTACCTTATCATACTTAAGGTCAGGATCGTTTTTTAATATTTTCCAAAATAGATAATATTTTATTCTTAGTTTTAAATTCTACTTCTTCGTAGTGGAGTTATTTATTTAATATATAAAATTAAATATTTTGATCATATAAATGAGACATAATTTTATAAATAACATCTTTATTTATATAAATATATTAATTTTATCCCCACCCCTCTGAAAAAACAGTTAATTATTTTTTGACACCCTTTCTGCAGTACAATGATTAATAATTATTTATACAAAATTGATAAATTAAGGAAAGCGGGAAAATTGGAAATGATAAAATAAAATCAGGGCCTTGCAGATAGGGGGGGCAATAGGAGCAGCTGCCCATGCCGCCAACATTAGACAATTTTAGGGGCCGCCAAATTCCTTAATTTTATTCAAATATTTTAGCCAGAGTTGTTAACGCTCGTTTTTAAAAGTTGCTAGCTCCCACTCTTACCTTCTCAAAAGGAGCTAGCTCCCACTCCCGCTACTACATTTTTAAAAGGAGCTAGCTCCCATTCTAAGTAATGGAGTGCCACTCCATAACCGCTCCTTTGATTTTCATTTTTTTAGAAGGTATACAAAACAAAATCATATTTTTTTTATCAAAAAGCTTTATTTATATTAAATAATCTATCAAAATATTTATAATCTTTTATTAGCTTTTAAAAGTAATAAATTTTAAATTAGAATCTAACAAACATCCACACCTCTCCCCTAATACCTGTTTTGCAATACTAATTAGGCACTCCACAGGAGCACTAGAGGGAAGCGGGGTATTGTATTTTATAAAGATATTTAATTCAGGGAATTTATCTCCAAAAAATCTTCCAAATCAATTTGATTCAAAAGAAAGATTTGAAGCTGCTCACTTTTGAAAATTTAATAGTTTTATTTAAACACAAAAGACATTTTGCCCTTAAATTTGTTTGATCATTTGGATTAACATCTTTTAGAAGTTTAAAATATTTTTTGTATGATGAAAATGGAAATTCGATTTCTTCATCTATGATCTCTAAATCCATAATATCCAAACTATTTTTTATTATATATCTATAAAATGAATATTAATATGACTTACAAGATTTTCCCAAAAATTTTCAATATTAAAAGGAAAACTTGATGTTTAATATTTAAAATGATTAGATGAAAAACCAATATAAAATTCGGCTAAATATTTAATAATGGTTAAATTTAAATTAAATAAAAGTTCATTTTTATTGAATTTTAATTAATAAATATTATTAATATTTAAAAAATAATTTAATTTATACATTAAATTTAAAGGAGCGGTGGAGTGGCGCTCCTCCACTCCAGCTCTAAAAGAAACTAGCTCCCGCTCTCCAATTTTAAAAAGGAGGGGTGGGACGCTCCAGGTGTTTTTTAAAAATGTAGCGGCGCTCCAGGAGCCTCCTTAACAACTCTGCTTTTAGCCCATTGAAAATTGAGAATTTTTTTAGTGTACTACATACAAGCAAGATATTATTATTTTTTATAGAAAAAATCCATGTATGAATTTTCAAAAAAGTTTGAGATTAGCCATAAGTATTAAGTTAAAAAATTTCATTTATTATTTAATATAATATTATTTAACTTCATTCATCAAATCAACAATAGTGAAATTCATAATTACTACCATGGAAATCGAATTCAAAATGAAATTAACTTTATTAGGAGATAGAGTCATAGAAAAATGCTATTAGCAATATATTTTTCCATAATGTTAATACACCAGATATAAGCCACCTGGAACAATTAACCATAGTTTTACGATACATAGAACTTAACAAAAACTCTGTTGAAAATAAATGAGCTACTTCTAAAAGTGATACCCTACTGGCTATGCCTTGTTAGAAGCATTTTTATCATTATATAAAAAATTATTAGAGATAAAAAAAATTATTGTGGACAGGGTTATGATAATAAATATTATGAATAAATCGAACAGCGTTTTTATGCCTTGTGGTTGCCATAGCTTAAATTTATTACACGATTATCATTAGTCGCTAAGTCATTTTTTGGCATTGTCCAACGAATTTATATATTTTTTTTCTGTTTCTACTCAGCGTTGGCAAATTTTGAACGATAATATAAATAATTTTACATTAAAACCGTTATTTAAAACTCGATGGGAATGTAAAAGTCATCATTCCAGGTTGGTGATATTTACTATGCACTAATAGACATATCCGATAAAATTAATTACACTAAATTAAGCCACTTCAGTGGCCATAGAATTAAAACAATTCCCATTTTTGGTAACTCTTATCATCTAGTTTGATATATTAACCTAGGTGTATTTAGTAAGTAAGTTCATGCAAAGTGACAATATTGAATTGGAAATAGTCATTACACTTATAAAGAGCCTTCGAAGGAATTGGAAACGAATTTAAAAGGGAGTACTTACCTTCAATAACATTAATTGGTAGGCAGAAAGTTCAAAAACAATTTTTTTACGAAGGAGATGACATGCCAATACTTGATTCTCAAAAAGAATATGAGATTGATAAATTTATCCGATGCATTACTAGATCAAGCCGGAAATTCTTTGGGCGAACGTTTTTAGCAATTAAAACTCTTTAAAGATCGTCTTGGATTCTTATTCACTACACCAGAATTGATAAATGCGCCTGAAAGAGAGCTAAAAAAAGTCATTAAATATTTTATTCACAGATTAGGATATGTTAGAAAGCTATATTAATCCGCCAGATCTACTAATTAAATTAAAAGTTTTAGTAGATATGTTAAGCAAGCATCTCATAAATACTTCATGAATAGTGTACGCTATATTAACACTAATAGTTTAAATGAAGCCTTACCAAATATATCCATTGTATTAGGGATTCTTCTACCTTGGAATCCACAAAACGCAGTTTCCTGCTCAAATTAATTAAAACTTACCTACGATCCTATATGCCACAGGATCGACTTGTTAATCTCTCCTTAATTTCAATAGAAATTATATCGCCTCATAAAATTATTTTGACATAATATCCTCTTTTTTATACAAAAAGCGAGGAGGATATCTCAAATTGCAATATTTTAGTTTATGATTATATTCATTTTTATCATGTGTCTACTCATTTATGATTAAAATTTAATATGCCTTTAGTTCTCTTTTCGAAAAATTTATTTAAAAAGCTTAGGTAAATTGTGTGTATTAAGGGGCCACCAAATTATTTTTTGTCCTGGGCCATCAGAAGTCTCGGAACGGCGCTGGGTGAAATAAACGAATTCCAGTCTAAATGATAAGTGTCAGAATCATCAGAAGAAGCTAATTAAAATGTATTAATATAAATATTTTAATAAAATAAATTTACAATTCTTAGAATCTGACAAATCTTTAGATTTTAAACCTCCAGGTCATGTATAATTATATCCCTCGTTTAGCCATAATATAAATATTTCCACATTTAAAACTTGACTTGAATTTGAATGGTAAAATTCACATATTTTCTCAATATCATCCTTAACGAATATCTTTTCCGTCATTTCACTTTGGTGTAAAATATGATATTTGATTTAAAAATTTAATCTATTCATCATTGAATCATTCATTAAACTGTATAATGATCAAATTATTGCAGCATATAAACTGGTTTTATAGATAAAATAAAATATTATATTTAATGATGAAAGTATATATACTTCTCCTTTTTGAATTATAATGTTTGAAGTCTAGAACTCACAAAATCAAAAGGTAAATTTCTCTCCTTCATAGAATCTTTTGCCTTTGAAAAAACATTCACAAATTCAGTATTATTATCTATTAGTATTAAAAAATACAGGACAATAATTAATTATACTTCTCAAATTAATCATGAATTTTTTTCCAATTGAATTTGATTTATTGCAAACCCTACATTTTCGAAATAGTTTGCAATTTTGTACATTTGTTATTAACAATATTTTATATAAAACACAATATGATAAAATAAAATAAAATTTTTCTGTTCTAAAAACAATAGCAAGCCATGGTATAAGTGACAGAGTTTTTAGAATCTTAAATTTGTCAAAGCTGCCCTCAAGGCATCATATTGTAGAAAAAATTTACAATAGCTTTATATTATGATAACCAGATTCTATAAATATAAAATAAACATTTTAAATCGACAGTGGTATTCTTGATGCATAAAAATCTTTGCAATTTTGTCAGTACATAACTCTGACATGCTTTAAGCACTATATCTTTTAACACCATAAAAATATACATAAATCTCGTCTGAGATCCCTAAAAGATTTCTTAGTTCTTTTATCGATTGGCAAATTGAACAATGATTAAATTTAATCGGTGACAATAGCATCAAATAAAAAGCTGC